CAACCAACAGTCGGCACGAGTGACTGCTATTGAAATAAAAGATCAAATAATTGAGATGATAAATTAAGGAACAACTTCAAAGTGACGATGAAAAGGACTAATCACGGGCCGTGTGTTTTGACAGTTAGGTGTCATCTTGTTTTCTATTTCAGTGGCTAGTGGTTATGGCTATTATATCTTGAAGGGGTGCTGTTTTTATAACAATGCATTGGCCATCTTGCTAAAAAGCGCACACTTATTCGAATTAAAAATTCAAGGAGTGCATGCGTGCATACGTCCATGTTTTATGTGGTCAGCTGAATTGGTTGTCTAAAACATTTAAAGAGACTGTTTGAGTGTAAAATTTGGTAGAATGATGGTTGAAATTACTGTCAATAATAATAACGCTAATTTTCAAAATATCAAGAAAAACGCATGATGCACCATGTCAACATGGTTTTTGCAGATGGAACTTTAAAACATCGCTGGTCAACCCCCTATTTAAATGTGCGAAGCGATTGGCTGGAGTTATATATTTGCTCTGAAATATATGGAAGGAAAACGAGTATTAAAGCAAGGTCACCAGATCATCCGTTTGATCAGATAACAAATTAAAAAAAAACGTGAATCATTTTTGGTGCTCTTCATGTGAGACTATAAAGAAAGAAAAGAAAATCAAAGAAAAGTTATTTTTCAATCTACTTGTGTACAACGCAGCCCTAAGCTTCGTGCAACACTGAAAGGTCGTTGAGAACCGTAAATGAACCCAACTTTGGACGTTAGCACATTATACATTTCATAATAAAATGCATCTTTTATAATAAAATGTGACTTTCGAAACTATACATCTCAAATTCGTTTCTACTTCTACGGTTTCACCAACCCGCGAGGAAACAGACGACTTATTTTTCAGAATCGAGCACACTAAATACACGAAGCACTCCAAACACAATAGTGTGTTTGGACTCTTTACTTCGTCCCTTAACGCTATGATAGATGCAATATACAAGGACAAGATAAGCCCAACAAACTGTCTCAATTCAATATTCACACTTCTCTTGTCAGAGCTAGCTTTAATAGCAGTACATTGACTCTAAGAGAATGGACGGATCCAGGAATGGTTATATTAGTACACGCCCCCTTCTCAAAAACAAATTAATAAAAATATTTAAAAAAAAGAAAAGAAAGAAAAAAAAAAGAACAACTGAAAGGAGACTAAACCAAGCAAAATTCCATCTCTGTATCCTTCATATTACAGTTGTTTTTGTGTTCTTTTATCTATGTCGAGCGAAGCGAAAAAATATATTTTTCCTAGCGCAAGCAAATTTAAACGTCGTGATCATGTCTCCTCTTACATAGAGGATGAGCTGGCTGCATAGTGAATTTTTCTACAATTAGCCGTAATGTAATCTCACATATAATCTGTTGGAATTGACATTATTTTAGCAAGACGTTGTGAGAATATACGACTTTTGATGGATCCAGATGACCAATGGCGATTTTCTCTGGCGCCAAAAATGATAATATATTTGTTTTCCATTTGTTTTTAGTAAATGAAAATGGTACCCCGACAATCTCGCAGTTTTCCACAACTTTTATGTGCAAAAATCGTGTCAGCTGACATATTTTCGGTAAAAGCGTAAACAATAACATGAAAAACTTCCGACAAAAATAAAAATTAATTTAATAAAATTAAACTGAAGTAAAATAAATACCAAAACGTTCTAACAAGACGGTCTTCATATAAAAACTATACGAGATTTATTTTTTCTATAAAACGTGTATAAGACACTGGCTTCCACTTCCGAATTGTAAACATGCACCTTCAAATGAACTGTCATACAGCTCTATACAGATAAACTTTTCAGCCTTGCTTATACACGTTTTGCATTGGTATGACAAACACTAAACGTTATCTTGTTTGCAGTTCTCTTTCATAAGTTTTATGAAACTGGGCTGAAGACTACTCTTTGACCACAGAGGCCACTACTATGCCCTAACAAAACAATTGTATCACCTCTTCAATTTCGTTAAATTTTCTAGGGACCCCTGAAATATCAGCGGGCACTGAAGACGACCATTTCTCAGCTGCGTGTAGATTAGAAATGACTCCCGCTGCTGTGTGCACTATTGGATTTCTATAACACGCTGTCTTCAGAATGCGTCTTTGTTAGATTTATTCTTCTCATTTAAAAAAAGAAAACAAGCTGGTCCTTGCTTTTCTTCTGCCGTCTCATGTCCTGGAACAAACCTAGGCCATTTTTAGCCGGTTACCGTAAGACGGTCATGATTTCCAAAACTTCCTCCTCTTCCTTCTCCTAAAAGAGAAGAGAATGTTTCTACTTCTTTTCCTTGACTGCCCTACATTTAGACTGTGTTGTCCTTCATCATAGGCTGACTACCACTGTCTCTTGTAAGACTGTCAGTACATTTCACAATATCCGCCATTCTTCGCATGATGAAGATGATGATGGCAAAACTAACGACTGCCAGTTCGGGCATCGTTTCACACTGCCAACTTCCATAGCCGTAATGAGTTATCTTCTACTGTTTGGTTCAACATTTTCTCTTCCTCTTCATCCTCATCGTCTGAAATTTCAAAATGTCTCTGACCTGAGGCTGTTGCCAGAAGAGGAAGACTGGGATGGAAACTGGAATAAAATTGGAGTTGAACTTTAAAAAGAAGCATAAATGTGAAAATTAGCCAGCTACTTACAGAAAGACAACTTTTGACAGTGTAAACATGGACGATAAAATAAAGCAGGAATTATATTTAATAAGTTTTGGGGCTTGGCATTCAGCCCTGAACTTCTACTGAAAATACAGCATCAAAATTATTGAAAAAACAGACTGAAACAAGAAAATCCAATCTGGCTGGTTTTCGAACTTGAACAATATACCTTAGTTTTATAAATAGTGCACACATGTTTGATAATAAATTAAGTGGCATTGAGACAACTCTCTCTCTCTCTCTCTCTCTCCAACATTTACCTGACACCATTCACTGTGTCTGTGTGTGCCTTGAAGTGCAGTATTGGTGTCAGAACAGGATCACTTGACTCTTGTGGCTGTGGAGGCTGTAAAGTATCCCACACTGAGACAGTGCCATTGTGGTTACCACTCACTAGATACCTCCCAGAGCTGTAAACACAAACAAGAATTTGGATCATTTGGATCGGTCTAACTCCCTGGGAAGTCTCACTAAATTGCTATCAACTAACCGGCTTAAATGATTGTCACACCTGCCGAATCAGCTAGGGGGTAAAGATAATTACACCGTACCGCCTAACAGCTTTACTAGGCGTGACAGACATTTAAGCCGGTTAGGTTGATAGCAATTTACGGNCGGGTCATGACTAACAAAATATTATAATCAACATAAATAAAAAAAAAAGGGGGATATGTTTTTTATAAAAATAAATATGCAAAAAACAAACTGATTCTGCAGCTTTTATCATTTTCTGCCTTATGTTTTGACGGCCATTTTGGTTTTTTGCTTAGTGGTACGCGATTAAGCGTATTCACTAGTACTGTTGTGCTCTCCTGATAGGATACACGTTCAAAAAAGCTGTCAATAAAGTTTACCCGGCGACTCCTGGTCGTTTTTCTATTTTTCGTCATAAATTGACGGCCATATTGAAAAATGCTCAAGGTCTCAGAAATAGCAACCAAGCTAATTTTGCTTCTCTCGGCCTGAAGAATGCATTTCAGCTAAAAAAGTTTACAGGAAAGAACATTGCAGGGTTCGACTATTGGGCCTATGGGAGTGGCGACTCGACTATATTTAAATGTGCGAAGCGATTGGCTGGAGTTATATATTTGCTCTGAAACATATGGAAGGAAAACGAGTATTAAAGCAAGGTCACCAGATCATCCGTTTGATCAGATAACAAATTAAAAAAAACATGTGAATCATTTTTGGTGCTCTTCATGTGAGACGATAAAGAAAGAAAAGAAAATCAAAGAAAAGTTATTTTTCAATCTACTTGTGTACAACGCAGCCCTAAGCTTCGTGCAACACTGAAAGGTCGTTGAGAACCGTAAATGAACCCAACTTTGGACGTTAGCACATTATACATTTCATAATAAAATGCATCTTTTATAATAAAATGTGACTTTCGAAAATATACATCTCAAATTCGTTTCTACTTCTATGGTTTCACCAACCCGCGAGGAAACAGACGACTTATTTTTCAGAATCAAGCACACTAAATACACGAAGCACTCCAAACACAATAGTGTGTTTGGACTCTTTACTTCGTCCCTTAACGTTATGATAGATGCAATATACAATTGCAAGGACAAGATAAGCCCAACTGTCTCAATTCAATATTCACACTTTTATTTACGGAGCTAGCTCAATAGCCGTAGATTGCAACTGACACTAAGACAAAGGGCGGATCCAGGAATGGGAATATTAGTACACGCCCCCTTCTCAAAAACAAATGAATAAAAATAAAAGAAAGGAAGAAAAAGAAAACAACCGAAAGGAGACTAAACCAAGCAAAATTCCGTCTCTGTATCCTTCATATTACAGTTGTTTTTGTGTTCCTTTAAATATGTCAAGCGAAGCGAGAAAAAATCTTTGTCCCAGCGCAAGCAAATTTAAAACGGGATCATGTCTCCTCTTACATAGAGGATGAGCTGGCTGAATGGTGAATTTTTCTACAATTAGCCGTAATGTAATCACACGTATAATCTTTTGGAATTGACATTATTTTAGCAAGATGATGTGAGAACATATACGACGATGGATCCAGATCACCAACGGCAAAAATGATAATATATTTATTTTCCATTTGTTTTTAGTAAATGAAAATGGTACCCCGACAATCTCGCAGTTTTCAACAACTTTTATGTGCAAAAATCGTGTTAGCTGACATATTTTCGGTAAAAGCGTAAACAATAACATGAAAAACTTCCGACAAAAATAAAAATTAATTAAAATAAATAAACTGAAGCAAAATAAATACAAAAACGTTCTAATAAGGCGGTCTTCATATAAAAATTATACTAGATTTATTTCATCTATAAAACGTGTATAAAACACTGGCTTCCACTTCTGAATTGTAAACATGCACCTACAAATGAACTGTCATACAATTCTATACAGATAAACTTTTCAGCCTTGTTTATACAAGTTTTGCACTGGTATGACAAACACTAAACGTTATCTTGTTTGCAGTTCTCTTTCATAAGTTTTATGAAACTGGGCTGAAGACTACTCTTTGACCGCAGAGGCCACTACTAGGCCCTAACAAAACAATCGTATCGCCTCTTCAATTTCGTTAAATTTTCTAGGGACCCCTGAAATATCAGCGGGCACTGAAGACGACCATTTCTCAGCTGCGTGTAATTTAGAAATGACTCCCGCTGCTGTGTGCACTATTGGATTTCTATAACACGCTGTCTTCAGAATGCATCTTTGTCAGATTTATTGTCATTTAAAAAAAGAAATCAAGCTGGTCTTTGCTTTTCTTCAGCCGTCTCATATCCTGGAACAAACCTAGACCATCTTTAGCTGGCTACCGTTAGACGGTCATGACTTCCAAAACTTCATCCTCTCCCTTCTCCTAAAAGAGAAGAGACTGTTTCTACTTCTTTTCCTTGACTGCCCTACATTTAGACTGTGTTGTCCTTCATCATAGGCCGACTACCACTGTCTCTTGTAAGACTGTCAGTTCATTTCACAATATCCACCATTCTTCGCATGATGAAGATGATGATGGCAAAACTAACGACTGCCAGTTCAGGCATCGTTTCACACTGCCAACTTCCATAGCCGTAATGAGTTATCTTCTACTGTTTGGTTCAACATTTTCTCTTCCTCTTCATCCTCATCGTCTGAAATTTCAAAATGTCTCTGACCTGAGGCTGTTGCCAGAAGAGGAAGACTGGGATGGAAACTGGAATAAAATTGGAGTTGAACTTTAAAAAGAAGCTTAAATGTGAAAATTAGCCAGCTACTTACAGAAAGACAACTTTTGACAGTGTAAACATGGACGATAAAATAAAGCAGGAATTATATTTAATAAGTTTTGGGGCTTGGCATTCAGCCCTGAACTTCTACTGAAAATACAGCATCAAAATTATTGAAAAAACAGACTGAAACAAGAAAAATAATCCAATCTGGCTGGTTTTCGAACTTGAACAATATACCTTAGTTTTATAAATAGTGCACACAAGTTTGCTAATAAATTAAGTGGCATTGAGACAACTCTCTCTCTCTCTCTCTCTCTCTCTCTCTCTCTCCAACATTTACCTGACACCATTCACTGTGTCTGCGTGTGCCTTGAAGTGCAGTATTGGTGTCAGAACAGGATCACTTGACTCTTGTGGCTGTGGAGGCTGTAAAGTATCCCACACTGAGACAGTGCCATTGTGGTTACCACTCACTAGATACCTCCCAGAGCTGTAAACGCAAACAAGAAACCTAGACCGGGTTCCCATGCCTAGATCGATCCATTTGGATTGGTCTAACTCCCTGGGAAGTCTCACTAAATTGCTATCAACTAACCGGCTTAAATGATTGTCACACCTGCCGAATCAGCTAGGAGGTAAAGATAATTACACTGTACCGCCTAACAGCTTTACTAGGCGTGACAGAAATTTAAGCCGGTTAGTTTGATAGCAATTTACTGAGACTCCCCAGGGAGATAGATCAATCCAAATATCTGTGGTAATGGTCCTCTAGTAACTAGAGGATCAGAGAGGGGGTACCACCTCCAGGAGTAAGTGCATTCGTATGGAAACCAAAGAGGAAAAACGAGGGGGGGGGGGGGGGGAAACACTTTCATTGCTGTGCTTGACAAGCTCTACAAAGTTATAAACAGCATGTATTATCAGATATTTTGTTAGTGTTTTCTAGTAATAAATTCTGTTTATAATGTATACACTTAATATTTATGTTGAGTTGATGAGCCATAAAGATATTACACAAATAATGCATCGGATTTTAAATTGCTTCAAAAAATCCTAAAATGTGTATCATTATCAGGAAATTCAGAATATATTACAATTACCTGTCTATGTCAAAATAAATTCTCTGATTGGTCAGGACTTCTCGTGACATCACACACAATACAGCGCCAGGGTTTCTCATGTCCCAGCACAAGATTTCTGGATCCTGTCAATAAAATATATGTTTGTGATACACGTACACTGCATGAATATTTGGTATTTTAATATGTTAAAACAAACATAACTGGCTGATATGAACTGAAAGACATTGATATAAAAAGTCATTAAACTGAATTCTTTTGTATACTTATGATGTTACTCTTGTGACATTTCGGAAATTTTCAACAAAAATTCAATAATATTCTAGAGTCTCTTTACATGCAAAAGGGGGAAATTTGCTCTTATACATGGGTGCCTGCAAGCAAACCAGACAGGCATATTCATTTTGCATACCTTTTTTTATAAATAAATAAATAAATTTAAAAATTAATAAGTAAAATGAAATAAAAAAAGAAAATCCTGGTTTAATTATCTATAATTGACAATTTGTGCAAACAATTCTGAAATGCCTGAGGGCACTTCAGCTAAAAGAGGAACACTTCTGTCCCTGTTTTAATTTTATACAATATTAAGGTGTTTAAGTTATACCTTTCTTCCACCTGTGAATAGCTTGGAACCATCTGAGGAAAACTGTATGTGTGTGACACCCCCAACCTGACCCTGGAATAAATACAGGAGGCGGCCATTCTCTGTTTCATACACACCCACTAAAACAGACAGAAAAAAGTATAAGAGGCAGCCATTCTCTGCTTCACACAGACACATTGAAAGAAAAACAGCTAGAATCATTTTGAAATTAAACCTTATTCTGGTCAATGCATAATCTCCCACTTCAGGACATGTGGGGACCACTGGACCCTAAAATAAATAATATGTTTACAGCAGAATATGCACATAAAAGGTGATTGCAGACTTATGGTATTATAAGTCCGTGTGCACATTTTATTTCACCGAGTACCTCATCTATAAGGAAAGAGGAGCTTCTTTGAGTTTTGTTCTAAAAACAGTGAAAAACTAATAACTTACCAGATTTGGAGTAAGAGCCAGCGGCATACATGTCACCCATGGGATTGAAGGCTATACAGGATATTATACCTGCCTGGCCATCTTTCACTGTAGATAGCATAAAAAGCATTTATTAAATACTGTTTCTTGTCTCTTAAATGGAATTTAATTTTCTGAAATCTACTGGATAAACTACTCTTGAAAATGTTTTTTTTTTTTGCTATTCATTCAGGCTTACTTGTACAAGGGGATTTACATGCATATCCAATAAATTGTTGGCATTTATCCAAACACAATTAAACATCTTCAAAACCTTCACAAAACTGATGCTTTATAATAAACAAAATAATGTGAAAATTAAGCTTTTAAAATCTGTTAAAGGACTTAAATTTCTTGTCGAGTTCACAATTTTGCGTCTCTCTTGGAGACTTCTACCAGTCTACTGAGAATACACATGGGACAATTCTCAGTATTTTCAGTGATCAAATATGTACAGTGTAGATTCATAACGAGAGTGAGAATAGATCCACCTGCATTCTTAGACCCCATTCAGAATAGGGGACTAACTAGTCCAAGGGTCAAATATGGTGACCCACTACAAAACTTGTCTAATCCGCTAAAAGACACTGAATAGATATCCTGTGGGGAAGTATTCAAGTGGGTCGACCATATATGACACTCTGACTAGTTAGTCTGAATGGGGCTGGCTGAAGTCTCCACAAGGGAGATGCAAGAAATATAAGTAAACGATTAATGTGGGTGCATCATTGAACTGTATCAGATACAGTTGAGCTCAGTAAGAACGCTCAAGATTGTTATCCGTTTGTTACGTTTTGTTACCAAAAGTAACTTGCTTGTTAACAGTGGTAATTATAGGGTATTAGAGCTGACATCTCTGTGGTCACAGTCTGTTTAAACAGGGGATAACACCCAGTGCTGCCATGACTCACCAAACTATTGTCTGTTGATAAAGCAGTGAGCAAACATGCATTGTGTTTATGTAACACAATCCATTCCTAAAAGAGGGCTGGCCTTATAAAAAGTAACCAGGTAAGTTGTTAAACATTGATACTTTTGGTACCGTCTCATTATTTCTGAGCTCAACAAACAGGGCGTGACTCTGCGGTAATTTTACTGGTATTTAGCAAGGGCCCAGTGGTACTGCCTCTAAATGTGGTATAACGTACCGTAAGTGGGTCTCTGTTGACATGTTCTCCCAGGTCTTGATGTGTCAAAAACTCTGATCATCTTGTTAAAACCACAGTAGATCTGCTCTCCTTGTGGACTGAAGGCGATACTATGGGCAGCTACCAGTTCATCCTGAAACAAAGTTACAAACAAATAAAAAATAAAACATTATCAAAAATAAATGCCTTGTGAAAAGTTTTGATGAATATTTTTTTATTTGAATTGGAAAATATTAAGTTAATTTGGTGGATAATTGTGTTACATTTTAGACCCCATCCCCATAGATTTTAGATCGATCTATCCCTGTGGGGAGTCTCACTAGATTACTGTCAGCTTAGCCAGCTTAAGCGTATGTCCCGCCTTCTAAAAGCTGTAAGGGGGTAATTAACTATGGTGCGCGCTCAGCTGACTGCAATATAGCATGAACCCCTAGGGAGTTAGGTCGATCTAAATCTAAATCTCTGTATCGATCTAAATCTCTGGAAATGCACTCTTAAACTAGGCAAATAAATATTTTGTCTTAAAGACTTGGTATCAAATAAAAGGAGATCACCTAAGTGACTTTTAAGCAAGTGGGGCTAAATGATGGTAGAGCAACGAGAGCTGTGTTGCAACAAAAGAAAAAACCTGGATTATAACCACAGATATTTTTTTCTGATTGTTATCTCCAAAGGCCTGTAGAATCAGTCTTTTGTAAAACTGTCTTTTGTGAAACTGTACATCTCAGTATTCAACACAAGCTTCATGTTACTTAAGCATTGTTTTCAAAGACAATATTTCCAGTCAAGAGGGTTTCCCCATTCTTTCCTAAAGGTCACCCCAGCCCCAGGTGCGTTCTCGCATGTCTTTTTGTCTCGTATGACATCACACAGCTCCAACAGCTTCTTTGTACTCACCATCTGGTTGAAAGCTCGGTAACTACACCTTAACTGTCCATCAAAGGCATCCCACAGGTGTACAGGGGTGTCCCTGCTTGTGCTGGCAAAACTACCAAAAAAAAAAAATTAATAATTAAAAATGGAAAACAGATAATAATAATAAAAACAGTATGTAGAAAGATGCACAGGGGTCTCCCTGCTGGTACTACGAAAAAAAATTATTAAAATGAAAGTCAAATCAAAACAATTAAAATAAAAATGTGGAAATCCAGTGTGAGAGTTCTTGATACTGGCATGTCACTTCACTGAATATTTGTCATTGCACTTATTTTCTTTAAATCTGCAAACACTGACAGCTGGGTCCCTGCTGGTACTGGCAATACTATGGAAAATAAATATCACGGATATAAATTAATAAAATTAATATGTGGAAATATGAGAGTAATTGAAAAAGATGTGTGACTCTATTGAATGTGTGCAATTGCACTTATTTTCTTTTTAATGAGAGAGACCACACTGCTAACAGTGACCACGTGTCAAGTCATTGCTTTGTTCTTATAACACAAGCTGATATTCTCCCTCATTAATGAAAAGTTATAATATGCACAACATGACNATATAAATTAATAAAATTAATATATGGAAATATGAGAGTAATTGAAAAAGATGTGTGACTCTATTGAATGTGTGCAATTGCACTTATTTTCTTTCTAATGAGAGAGATCACTCTGCTAACAGTGACCACGTGTCAAGTCATTGCTTTGTTCTTATAACACAAGCTGATATTCTCCCTCATTAATGAAAAGTTATAATATGCACAACATGACAACAGTGGGAAACAATCCCACTCCTACTCCCCACTTAAAGTTTGTGATAGCTATATAAATAATTCAATCTAGCTCAACAAGCTCAAGACATATACATAACTGTCACATGGGTGAATGTTGTAAAAACTGAAAATCCTAGAAATGAGCTTGCAATTTCTCACGGCATTTATTCCATATGAAAAAAAAATGACGACTGATAATCATGAAAGTTTTTACCCATGTATTGACATGCCTTATCTTTTTTCAGTATTATAAATTCTATCACATTAATACACTAACATTTTGAACAAAATAACATGAAAATCAAGTTAAAGTATGTACTTCTTATTATAAGATACATGCTAATGAGACAATAAAACCCATCACACTCACCAGCATGTTGCGGGTTCCATGGAATTCATCAGGGGATACCAGCTGTAATCATATACCAGTTCTCCCTCTAAGATCCTTAAGGCTGATTTCTGAAATCAATGGTTGAAAAATCTCCCTTCAACTTCTTTCTGTATTTTTTTTTCTTTTTAATATACTCTTTCTTCAGACAAATTTCTCGCCCAAACAAAAACAAACTTAATCAATATTGGAGATTGGATGTCACATGTGACCTCTTAACGTAAAAAAGTCTAAGGCCCGATGCAGTCTGAGATAAAGGGTTCATTCCCAATGACCTATCATTCTACACAGGTCAATCCAACTCCACTTTTTAGAGCATAACACAGCTGATGAATTTCAACTTCTTTTCTGATAATGCATATGCTGGGGTAGCGCTAACACTCGCCAATTTAGCCAAATGCTAAAACTGACTTCAATTGGCTAAAGAAAAAGGGCTTGATTTGACATGTGTTAGCCAAATTATAACCATTTTGGTAACAAATTGACAAAAATGTGGTGATTTGGCTAAGCAAAAAAAAATTGCTACCGCTACCCCAGATATGGTGATTAATATTACGCCTCAAGCCTATATCAACCCACCATTTCTGGACAATTATGGCCATCAGATGTGACTGGACTATCCTGACCACCATTGGACCCTTGACCATAAAGCTCTTGAGGAAGATTGAAAATACGGAGGTAGCCATCATCACTGTTGGTCAGCACACAGGTGCCATCTGGTGACCTGAGAAAACAATCAGTGACAGAAATATAGAAAAATAAAAAGAAGTACCTGCCATTCTCAGAGAAGGAATATGACATCTCTTTTCTTGGGCCTTTTGCAAATAATTATATGGTTCAGCATATATACCTGTAATTGTTGCATCTATAGGTATATAAGGTAAATCAAATAAGAACCCATTCCTATAGACACCACTGGTGCACATGGATCGACCCAACTCTGTGGGGACTCTTGTTAAGTGCAATCAGCTTAACTAAATGACACACTTCCTCTTGTTTCCAACATACTCCTTTGCTCGCCAGTTTTTCTGCATTCTAACAACACCAGGAGGAACCATGCCATTCAGTTAAGCTGATTGCTGTCAGCCAGGCTCTGCAGAGTTGGGTCGATCCACGAAGACTGATGGTGTCTGTGGGAATCAGGCCCTTGGCTCCAAAGTAAAGGTAATAAAACCTGCATAAAAATGCAATAAGTTCTTCCCCATTGTTCTCTCTTTTGCACCCCTTTCTTCTTTCTTATTTCATTTATTTATTATTTTTTTTTTAGGGGGGTGGGGGGTGACATTATAATACTCCTTGACCCTGTTTATTTTATCTGCTAGCAAAGCTTTATATTATCTGTTACATTTTTTAATGTACTGGAACTAGCTTGGAAAAATAACTACTGTATACATGGTTTTATTCCGTAAAATAACGTAGGCTGACCTTTGACCTTCCTAGACCTTTAACCTTTGAACTTCCTTTAACTTACCACTTGCAGCCTTTCAAGAAGTTTCCTGCCACAGCATCAAACTCCTCTACAGCACTGGCCACAGAGGTAGGGACATAGTCAAAGTTATAGGAGCAACTGAAATTGAAGCAAAGGAATCAATGTTGTAGCTGTAGTAATTGTACATGTATCTTTTAGTGTGTGCGTGCGCATGTAAATGTATGTGTGTGTATATGTGTTTGTGTGAGAGAGTCGTATGAGTGCATGCCATGCATACTTGTGCACTGGTAGGAGTTAGACCTTACAATGTATAAATTTTTCTTAGCCAGAGATTTCCTTTTTTTACTATTTATACTCATATTTTGCAGGACTGTCAACTTGAATGGCTGGTTTGTCCAAGTTTATAATTCTGTTTTGCAATATGTAAAATTTTATCAGTGATATTAGGGTCTTTTTTTTCGTGAAAAATGATGGAATAAAGGGAGAGGTGAGAATCAATACCGTTAATATTCACCCAAGTTTTCAATCCAATAGACTATGACAAGGAGATTACTTAGAAAGGAGGAAGACAAAAATTACTTTGTAGACAGACTACTGTCACAGTCCTGGGCTCCATCAGTTTTTGCCTTCTTGTTTGGTGGAGGGTCAGCCACTGTCTGACAGGTGGCACTACTGTCAAGACAAGCTTTGACATCTTTACAGACATTCCTAGTCTCTGGTTGTGAGATGGCACTGCTTCCAAAAGAAGCCACGCTTGCCAGTTCAGAAGGCTCTGTTTCTGACTGACTGTTTCCAGTCTTTTCATTAGCCACTCCTTCACTTGGCTCTCCAGATACTCTGTCATTTACTGAAGTCATGTTAACGTTTATTTGCTGTGAACTGTCTTGCATCTCTTTCAGAGTATTGTCAATATACGTTACAAGACATGAACTATCGCCACTGCCGTCTTTTTGTAAAGATGGCCCCTTCAAATCGGGAGATGATGACTGCTGATTTTGTTCACCTTCATTTTTGGGACATTCTACTGCCAAGCCTGTATCTTTTTCAGACTCTGCATCTACATGTGTCTCTTCTTTCCCAGTGCTCTGAAGATTCTCTTGAGAAGCGACATTGCCTTCCATCCCTACACTGAAAAATATTTAGAATGATATCAATGATATGGGAAGTACATTAGATCCTTGAGAGAGAGAGAGAGAGAGAGAGAGAGAGAGAGAGAAAGAGAGATAGAGAGAGAGAGATTTCTGTGTTCATTACTTTCTCACTGATCATGAGGCTCGAAGAATAATAATAGTATTCTTACATGCATCCTCAATCTAACGCTATAAAATTGACAATCAAAATAATCACCCTTGTACTTTCAATCAATTTGATATCCAACCGTGCTCTACTCTACCGGCCTCGGTTCACTAGTCGGAAGCATCGAACACCTTTGTTCTAACGTTTTGATAATCTGTTTACACACAAAACATACCTGTATCTTTCAAGTCCAAGTTTATTCAAGTTCAACAGTCCAGGAACATTTATAATCTACTCGTAGCCGATGCCAAGCTCTAGCTTAACCCATGTTCCCCATATAAGACTGACTGGAACCTGGAGACTAGCCATGTCAGGCAAGAAGATGGCCACCATATGTCATCTTAAGCTACAAATCTGGTTGTCCTATCAGGTCAGAGAACATGACAGCTAATATTCCAGTCAGGAATTTAATCTTTTAGGACCACAGGTGATAGAGTGAGTTGTTATTTATTTAGTTATGCATAATTGTTTATGCTTTAATAAGATATAAATCTGCACGGAGGTATATGTACACAGTCTCTTGTTAGGCTACGATTTACTAGGTGCCAATTGTGAACACGATTTTTGCTGTTGTATTCTACTTTGTATTGTTGTATTGATATATTAGGCATAAGAAGTATTGAGTTTTTCGTCAGGTATATTTAAAAAGCGGCGCAGTGGTGTGTTAAATTTCTTCTTTTTTTTTCAATTTTTTTCACCTCCGCCAAGGATGTTTTCACTTCTGTTTGTCTGTCTGTCTGTTCGTCATCAACATAACTCAAAAAGTTATGGACCGATTTTGATGAAATTTTCAGGGTAGGTCCTACTAGGTGGGAAATGGGTTAACTTAGAAGTGATTAGTTTTTGGTGGTGATCCACATCTATAATCAATCAATAATCAATAATAATCAAAAACCGCTGCCTTGGCGGAGGTCTGCGCTCTCGGAGTGCTTTTCTAGTTTACATATACATTCTGTCTACTGGTAGATCTCCACAAATCGGGCCTTTGATGTTACGAAAATGGTTAATTGTTTGAACTTTTCTCTCAGTGATAATGCGCAGAATAAAAGGAACATGTAAATTAATGATTGTCAAAAAGCTCAACTTGCATATTTATGTGCAGTCACAAGTCAAATAGGGGAGAGCGGGGTGGGTTGGAACGCGGGTAAGTTGGAACATTGGCTTTATTTCTTAAACTACAAGACCGATCATGTGCTCCTTCAGAATAAAAATGTCACTTGGTATGGCCATTCATCCGGTAAACTTTTGGAAGTTTTGAAAATGCAGTAAAANAAAAAAAAAATTAAAAATGATCAGCGATTCTTAGTCAGAATTAGAAGAGTGGCTATGTCTGGTTTGTGGGGAGCCGTTCAGTAACGGCCGACCAAAAGAGAAATGGGTTAAATGCATTGTTTGTCTAAAGTGGTCACATGAAGACTGTACTAATTGAGGGTGACCGAGTGTGCATATGTCAGAACTGCGATTTTGATTCTGAGGTCTAGTTGAAAGAGATACAGTTTTCATTTGTAGGTCTAACATACTGTTGTTGATAGGTTATGTGATATTCAATTTCTTTTCTCTTTGAAAGCAAATTATAAACCTAAAAAATGCTTACAAACTATGGAGATACGAATACAAGGTAATACGTTCTTGTTGGGAAATTAATATAGATAAACCTACTCTTAAAATGAATTATACTTTGAATTTATATGCAAGCGTTCCAACTCGCCCTCTTGTTCCAACTCACCCCACTGACTGTTCCAACTTACCCCGCGGGTGGGGTGAGATGGAACGTTTTAAGAGGCAACTTTGAGTATTTATTACTCTAAAATAAAAATACCTACTTGATGTTTTATTTCATAGATGAGTGCGGCATATAATTATCCCCTATCAGTGTTTTTATTTTTGTCCCCAAAGCTTTGACTGCTGAGATATCGCAAAAAAAGTGAAAAGTGTTCCAACCAACCCCGCTCTCCTGGAGACACGTGTCGCTGCATGTGCTTTTATCAGACAGCGTTCAGGCAGCGCTAACGCAATGACAAGTTTGCGTTTGCGCTTCAGCATCTTTGATCTGGATGGTAGGAGCCAGCCAGCAACTTTGAAATTTCAGCTTAAATTATAAGTTAAAGGGATAATTACTCTTCGTTTTGCCCCCCCCCCCCCCAAAAAAAAAGAATTTTTCTGGAGTAAACAACAATTTCCCCATACTTACCAATGGTTAATGAATCCATTTTTACATTCAAAGTTAGTCCCTGTTTTTTTTTTTTTTTTTTCTAAAAAAGTTTTTTTTTTTTGGTTATAATCACTTAAGAGATTATAACAGAGTATAGCCATCAATGGCCACGTGCACGCACGGCCTCCATTCATAATCAGAAAAAAGTTGTGCGCAAGGTTAAAAGTGCGCATGCGGCGACGAAAAACACTCTTTTTTGGGTCTTATAATTAACATTTACTACTGAAGTTACGCTTTGTTGGAAATATATTCTGTTGGTTAATGATAAATTCGTTTGATGGAAAAAATTTATCTATTTCAAGGAGAAAGCAGAAATGTCTCTACAGTATGAATTAACGTAACATAACATGCAATTTACTTTAAATAAAAAAAAGCGCATATGAGTTTATTTTACGGATGTAGAATTATATATTTGACCCCATTCTCATATACACCATCATAGATCGATCCAATTCCGGGGACTATTGCTGAGTGCAATCAGTAAAACTGAATATCAGGCCTCCTGGCGTTATGTAGCATACACAAAAGCTGGTGATTTTACAAGTACGTTGGAAACAGTACTCAGCAAGAGTCCCCGCAGTGTTGGACCGGTCTACGTAGAAGAATAAGCATAGGTATATATTATTGGGCTTTGCTTAAAAAAGAAAAGATCATGGCTACAAACTCAATAATTATTACTAGCAATTCTGCAAAGGGATGGTAAGTAATACAATTTGACGAAAATAACTGAGGGTTAAATATATAGCACAAAAAGAAAGGAGAATAACATCTGTTCGAATGTCATTTTGGGGGGGGAAATATGAGACGATACCCTTCAGCATATCTTTAGTTATGCTATGTGAAACAATATGATGGCGTTTGGTTGCGTTTACTAGATTTGACTTCATATTCATATTTAAGAGAAAACAACCAAAATATCCTTTGATAAATTGTCAGTTTTTATTTTAATACATACTAGTCTGTTATTATTTCTTATCCCATTCTTCTCCAAATCCAAAGAAATCTTTTTGACTTTTAGCTACATGTGGGACACAAGACTTTGGGCCATCTCTTCACTGATCCACATTATGTCATCGGCCAGCAAGCAACGTTAATTGGATCAAGAAGATGGGTGACATTTCTCTTTTCATTAATATTTAGTTACAAAGTTTAATACAGTAGCACTAACTATTTCTATTACAGCACAGATAAATATGTGCAAGACTGACCAAAGACCAACTTTTGTTGCGCAACACAAAACAGCGATTAAGGTAAAGCAGCGGCTGAAGTGGCCGCCCAAAGTCCTTGACACCCAAATCTCTTTACCACACTTTATCTCATTTCAGCTGTGAATGACTGCGGTAAAATTATACATTGTTTATAAAGGTAGCTGAACATTTTAGATGTTCTGAATGATAAATGCTATCAGAACCTGCCAGAGTATAAGATTGTCTCGGCCCCGGGAGAGAGAGGATATTGGATGGACTGCAGTTTCGAATTCTTCTCTGCGGTTCTTAACGATGCCGACTTCAAAATCGAGATTATTGTAAGTATAATTGCGGTAGTTCTTCTGAATCAGAGCATCTACCTGATCCTCAAGAGACTCAAACAATGGAGTGGCATCTTGGAGACGGCGAACGCTTCGCTTTAGCCTGACCGGCAAAAGGGTAGCGACGTAATTTCTCTCACTCGATGGGAGAGTGCACTCTGCTAAAGGATCCATAAACTTATAGGCCTCCCAAACGCCAACTGGCGATAACTTAGGTATGGTTTCCAAGAAAAGCCTGTACTGTATCCCACAAATGTAGGTAAGGCTGCAGGGTTGCTTGATGACTTGTTTTGGGGTGAATATGATAGTTAAGTTGAACTGTAGGTTGATCATACCAGTAAGATATATGGGTAGTCTGCACCATCTTTCATCCTTTGGGCATTTAGTGATCTGCTGACAGTCGTCCTGGAAAGGGGATAAAAATAATAAAAGCACAAAAAAGTTGGTAATGCGTTGATTTGCAGTTCAATGTGCACAGCATGCATTATCCAAATAAAATATACATGTATTTGTCTATACTGTGTCCCTTTTTATCGTTTCAAACCATTTTTATAATTTCGAGTGCAATTTATGTCTATAGATTTCGTTTAAAGAATACATATTGCAGACCGTTAACCATACTAAATAAAGGTTTCCCATAACGCATATAAATCGGGTCTAGTAGTTTCCTATATGAGAGAATGCCAAATCGTAAGCCAAATAATTATACCCCTCTTTTTGGCCAAAATAGCATTGAAACTGCATCTTCTCCAAATATTTGTTCGTCCGTAAATAATGTATATACGTAGTACTACGGGTGAATTGCAAAATCATCACTCTCACTCCCATGTATGGATGTGTGCAGGGGTGCATTTATCTGCGCGCGCAATTGCATACTTTTGCAGATTAAACTGCTGAGGAATATTTAAAGCCCCCCTCCAAAATAAAAAAAAAAAAAAAAAAAAAAAAAAAAGCAGAAAATGTCCGCTGAAATATGATTTACAGGAAACATGAACTAAGCCCTTTGGTATTTCGTATTTCTCTAAACTACAGGTACGTAGCCTATACTATACGAAACTATATTGTGGTATTTGGTCTGGTTGGGTTTTGAGGCAAAACTTTGACTTTAAATGCATCTTTAAACGAGGCAATGGATATCAACATCTTGTTCAAATTCATTTGCTAAAGCAATGAGAAAAGGCTGGTTTTCGTCAATTACAAAAATCTGAAAGAAGCTCACACACACTTGAAACGATATAGCATTAGATATTTAGATTCCATAGACTACCCATGCTTACTTGATTCCGGTGTTCCTGACAACGGGATTCCCTTTGATAATCTATCAAGGCAGAGAAACCATTTGGCTCAAAAGCCTTCATCGCTGCTTCATCTGAGAAAAAGCAAAATTAGTTCAAAAGTAAGTAATGAGATACAATGGGAAGAAAAGAAACTGTGCAGGCAAAAAATGACCTTAATGAGTCACAGCGCCGAATTATCTGTTTTGATTTGTGTCAGTTTGACACCAAATCACTGATTATAGGTACATGTAACATAATTATGTCATTTTATTTATTCTAAGACCATGGCGTATGTACAGTTAGGCCTAAATATAGGCCCACAGAATAACTGGAAAATGTATTTAATCATATCTCTAAAATTTTCATATAATTTTCAACATTAAGGTCAATACTATAAGCATTATTCGTTGTATGTATATAGAAAGAGAACGCAAACAAGCCAAGACAGAAGCATGTTCGCAGCTCCAAGAGACCACTGTGGGTGAGGCAGCATAGATAAAGTTGGTACCATATGCTTTTGCAGAATCTAAATAAATACCAGGTATTCGACATGGCCGCGTGCCAATGCGTATACCTGTCTTTGTGGAGTGGGGTGGGGTGGGGGTTTTATTGGGAAAAAGTATTAAGGAGATCGTGACAAGAAAGAACAGTTCCACTCACCTGTAGGTTACTTCCTGCTCTGGCAGGTTGAATTGTTAAACACTCAGGAAGAAGCTCGTCTCTCAGTAATAAAGAGCCATGTGCTTAAGAAATTAACTAAATATCTAATGTTGCACCAACCTCTTAAGCAACATTTAACTTGGTAAAGACCAAAAAGCCATCCATTTAATATAGTGGATAAAAGGTTGGCGGGACGATCTGATATCTGATTATGACTTCAATAGAAAATAGTTACTTAACGACTTACCATATTCGTCACATTCCTGAATGCTTGGAATAGAATCTGGTTGTCTAAGGCAAAGCCAGCAGAATACATTTTGACCATATGCGTGACCATTTGGACGCCTATAAAAAGTCAACGACACAGGCCCGTACTGGCAGAGACGTGCGGACTCGGCGTCTAATGACCTTGAACAACGTCTGTCATTTTGTCCGTTCGCAGGGTCATGCCCCCCTCCAGGACCTATGCATGGTCGTCCAGGATTATGGTCTGGTGCATCAAAGAACATCATGCAATCCGGAATCATTTCAATCTGGTCTAAAATTTCAGAGACGTTCGTTACATCTCTAAAAACTTCGATTTGGGAGGTCAGACACACTACCCTGGGTTTCCATGCTGTGCGAGTTGTTGCCTTGTGACATATTGCACAGAAAACGTTTTTATACGTGAGGTTTGCCCATGTTGATGAAACAGGTAGCATTATATCAATGTCGTTAGACAAGCCTTTGAACTCACATTTTTGGCGGACATTTTCATCTTGCCAGTGGCTTGGACAAGAAGAAACAATCCAGTAGTATTTAGCACTAACTTCGTAATTTTCTTTAGTCGCCTGCAACCAACATTCTGTATTATTTTTCTGTATTTCAATCCCCGTGAGCTTGGTATCGTTGCAAAAGTGACCGTATGGCCAACAGCAATCGCCAAAAACGTGACACAAGTCGTCGCAGTAGCAGGTCACGAGAACGACGTTAGTGGTTGAACCAGCCCTCTCTTCGGCGCAGAACAGGCTGTTGACTGTTATGTTAAGCTGTGTAAGTCTCCGGCGTGCATATTCCATTGAATAGGTTTTACTTGGTTCTTCCAATTTAGGCCTAAGGTGAACAGTGGGAGCTTGACTTGTAATCGCAGTGTTATACGTATCTGAAGTTAGGTTTGAGACCGCTTGGAGAGACCGGAGTAAGTATCGTTTCCGTGCGGTGCATTCTCCTCTGTTTGGTTGCAATTTGTATTGTTTGTGACATCCCCATTGGGCACAAAAAATCGACTGGAGGCTCCCGTGCAGGCGGTTGACTTCAAAAGCGGATCTGGAGCGCTTTCGTTGATCTTGGGAGAACTGTGGCTTTCATGTGTAGGCTTTCTACTAGTATTAGACACTTGTTCATCGCGATAGCCGATAGTTCCAGGCCTAACTGAACTTACCGATTTTACTATCACGGTGTCGCTCCGCACTTCAGGTCTGCCTGACGACGGCAATACGGTAACTTTGCCATTTTGACTATTTTCAGAATTGACCAAGACATAGATTATCAGCACAATCATTAATAACACTTTCATTTTTGAGTGGCCTCCTTTTTCTTGATACTCAGTTAATGTGTCTTGCGAAATCTCTAATACTTGAGGGTCCTTGGTATTCTTATACATCTGAAATTGTCATTGGTTAAAACGGGGTAAGAAGAAACAAGGCCGTTAGGTGGACGACGTGAGCCAATCAGAATCAGGTAGAACGACAACAATATGGCATTGTGAAATCGACAAAACTGTAATGTGAATGCCGCATGTCTATGGCGTCTTGCTTTGTTTTCTTTGTTGGGCTACGAGATCCTACAGCTCAAGTGCCGTTGAAAAGGTTTCTCAGAAACAATTCATACTCACAAAGACACAGCACTATCTCTTTTCAAACCAGACCTGATTAGCTTTAGTGCTGGAAAACAGCAATGTGATTCTGTCGATGCTTTGGAAAGGTAAAAAAGAGTAGCTTAACCACAAGCCTCGAACAACTAAATTGCTCTTTACGCTATCGCCTCAAAACAAAGAAAGGATAACTGAATCCCTAATTTGATACCCATTCTTTCTTTTTTCCCCTCGTTTCTTTTCTTTTGTCCATTTGGTCGGTGAGCTCAGGATACATATAGATAGCATGCTTTGTTTTCAAAGGGTTGGGGGTACAATTTACCAGCTATCTTCTCCATTGCTGATACAAAATTGCACGAAAGCCCTCTGGAAGATTTGGGATGACCAAGTTGTCTACTCTTATATGTTACTACCTCATTCCTCCCACCCATTCATAAACTGGACCAGTAGCAGAGGAGACAACCGTTGTCAAATGTTCCACCTTCGAAGTACGATATCAGTATATTTTTTTCCGAGGGGAGCTTTTTTTTACACTGATCATCTTCGATCCGACAGGAGCATTTTGCCCAATTTTGTAACAGACAGGTTGGGAATATAGAACAATTTCCTTGTTCTTTGCTTAATTATCGGAATAATTGCATTTGTCATATTTCTAGTACATGCAGTGTGTTATCTTTCCTATGATGAACTTTGTAGGCCTGCAACCTGATCAGCAATTAACCACATCATATGTTAAAGTTCTTCATATTTCAAACATTAGCACGAGAACGCTGATTCGAAATTTTGATTTTTCCGTTACCATGAGGATTTGTGGTAAATTTGAATTTTAGCACGCGTGCGTTGTGAAATTAGCCCGCCCTCCGTTCATATACGGCTTTTCTCTGATAATAATCAAACGAATGTCTTGACCCTCCTCCCCTTCGGTTTCTGAAAAATAAATCTAACAAAAATTCCCCTTTTGAAATTAGAATTTTGACCAGCCGAATCACATTTATTAGACGTACCAAATGGCACCGTTTGCCCTTCAAAACACCAAAATTTTCCGGGGCCTTTGAGCGGGCCCTCCAAGCCAAGGGGGCGAGGGTCAACTACTCATCCGAAGCCTGTCATTCCCAGCTTCCCCTCCCCCCACCCTTTCAAATAACCCTGGATCCGCCCCTGGGTTGAACAAGTACGGCATGGTCCTATCATTTTGTTGAACTTTCTGTAATCCTCTTTTCCTTTGCCCCTTTGTGGTTTTAGGAGGCATATCAATATTTTTTTAGAAGGTGTTTAAAATGTATTCAACTCCATTGTATGAATTTGAAGTTACCCTGTACATGCATGAAGCTATTTCGAACAAAAGATCCGAAGATCTACTGATCCACGGATCAAATAGGCCAGACTCTACATGAAAGAAGAGCCGACTTATCCGCTGATGGTCTCCCCGCCTCCACGTACACGCGCCGTCCTTGGTCACCCAAATTAGAGGCTAAATGTATTAAAATGCATACTTTTGCGGTCGGTATTTTCGTTTATCGCCCTCTCATAATGTTGAGAACGAAGGCATAAAATGATTCGCTATTCTTAATTACAACAATAAAAAGTAATAATAATACTAATAATAATAATAATAATAACTAGACAGTGTGGATGCATAGAAACATTCATTATCATATCACATAGCGATTGCATTCTAAAAATACCGGTACTGTAACTTTGAATCTTTGGGTTAAACCGTGTTAATAAGACGGGGACACACGCAACAAAGATATCCGTATAGCTCGTCTTGATGGCAGCATCACTAAAATCTATATCGATGGACAGTAAGTACAGTTTTCAAAATGACAGCTGCCTTCACGAATCCCGTTGCCGACCTACAACAATATGATCCAAGATATAAAGGTATGGAGATTTTTATTGTGTTTTGCATAAGGGATTTATTTATGAAACGTATGTAAAATAACTAGAGCCAAATCAATAAAGGGTATTTGTGTTGTATATGGTCGAATGTCGTCTTTTGTTTAGACGAATTATTGATCTTCTGACTTTTCAAGTGAAGTGGACCTTTTCAGTTTAAGTTACTGGCTTTTAACAAGCTAGGTAACTGCGATATTTTGAGAACATGAGAACAGCTTTCAGTAATGACAAAATACTGATTACAACAAGATTCTGCATGGAGGCTTTACCAGAATGCACTGAATGTAACATCGCAGTCTACCGATCATGTTGTTAGACAATGCGGTCAGCAATACAGAGCAATGCACCAACAACAACGGGGAAAAAAAGAGCCTAGTTGCAAGTAAACACAGGAAACAGTCATTTCCGACAAAATAGGGTAATATGAAAGCCAAATACATTGCTAGGTAATTAATATTGTTGATACAACTTAACAATTAATCAGCACGTCTTGTTGGCTTCACGGGGCCGTAGCGATAGTCCGAAGGTTCAATAGTCCAAAGGTTCATTGGTCCAAATGTTCACTATAGAACCTTCGGACCAATGAACCCTTGATTAGAAAATCGATGAAAATGTTACCACTTTTCGAACCAATGAACCTTCGGACCAATGAACCTTCAGACTATCGAGATGCCCCTGGCTTCACAGGGGAACCCCAAAAATTAAGGGTACCCGTACTAGTACATGTATAGTACAGCAGAACCTGTACACACATGTTCATCGTTCAAAGAACTGAACAGCTAGCAAAGCTTGGAAACCCAAAGTCCATTTACAAGGGACTCATTTGTGATCGATGCAATAAGGGCACTGGAAAAGCCTTTACATTTGTGCCAGCTACAGAACAAACAGCATAATTCTAAGGCAAGATGTGAAAGTCCAGGCAGTGGTGGATCAAGCTTTACTGCATATCCCAGTTACGTACAGAGTCAAATTCACTGTCACGTCAGTGGTGATTTTGTGAGGAAAAAAACACATGAAGACAGTAAGGTACCAACTATAATCTGTTGTATACAGATACAGTAATCATATTGAGGACTTGAAGTGTTTTTGTCATTCAAGTCCTGTGTCACAAGCCATAGTACTTGGAATAAATAAGACTTAAATTTAGGGCAATGCCAGCTCAAACTTTAGTCCAATTTTTCTATGCCCAGGCCTCCATGTTAACTGGGATTGGAAAACTTACACGGCTTTTTTCCCCACTATTGAACTTGAACTAGCTGGATCCTTGAAACAGCCTGGGTAACTTATTGGATCAGATGAGGAAGAATCTGTTTGAAAAACAGGTTGATTTGCCTTCACAGAATCAAAACTAATTTCATGCCAGCAGCATTTGAAACAAAACTGGCGTATCCTTGGAAGAAAGAGGACAACACATTTCCTTGTTATTTGGGTACCTTCGACTTACAAATTCTACAACTGGCCCATATTTGAAGAAGGAAAAAAGAAGTACTAGTACCTGTTTGTATAAGAAACATTGCCCCAGCATTTGAAGTTTATTTTGTAGAGCAGATACTGCTTATCATCAGGGACAACCTGATGCGAAGATGCGAAGTTGCACATGGATGGTCTTGGACTTATTGCGAATCGTTGAACCATATTTTGAAGTTGAAAACAGGTTGGAAGCAACTTGACATACCCAAGTTCTTAGATTCACGCCCAGAGAAACTCATTTGCAATTATTATGAAGATGTAGAGAGGGCATTTATGCACAGAGGCAAATGTTAACTATGTGTAGCAAATGGATATATATAAAGATTTTCTTGTGGGTTTCAACGATTGGGAAAGGAAATCCTCCCAGCAAAGGAGACAACGCTTCAAGAAATCACTTTGCACCCCTAAGCTGCTGAAGCCCATGGTTGCATCTTAAGTTTTCTTTGCCCACCAGTCTCCATCATGTGGAAAGAAACCATATCAAAGGAAGCAACCCTGCGCCACCTGAACAACTTTTCCATGCAAATAATTATAGTAACAAAATATATAAACAAGTATAATGAAAAAATGCATATTAACAATTTATACTTACAGTAAGTTGAGGATGAATAATAACCCAAGATTTTAATCTCCTCAGTGGAAGTCCTCCTGAATGAGTCCATGCTAACAAACTTTAAGAGAGGCAATGCTGTGGACCCCACCATTGAAGTAACAGCCCTGTGTGCCCAGTTGGACTTCCTCTGTCTAAAGGAGATGGAACTTCAGGATAGAAGAGGCACAACAAATGAAAAGGTAGGGCTTATCACATTATAAGGATACTTATTATACTACTATTTATAATTGTCTAAATTCAAATCATAATGTGTACAAATATATTTTAAGTTTGCAATGCAAAATTTGAGATAAAAAAGGAAAATGTTAATAAAAATAATTTGATTTATGTATAATAAAAAAAACTTATTTTTTCAGTTCATTTCTAAAAGTCCATTAAAAAGTCATTGAAAAACATGCTAGAGGCATGAAATCTCAGTTATGATTTTCTTTGTATGCTGTATGCACATTTACAAATGGAGAGTGGAATTTTCCCATTTGGTTTCCTTATCTAACGTAATGGCAGTGTGACTTAAGTGCATGCATAGAATTGAAAAGAGGATATCTAGGATATCATCTACTAGTGCATGTATGAAACGTAGGTTGCTTTCAACATAAAAAAATAATAGTAAGCTAAAAATGATAACTACATGATTCTCTTTTTTTTTTTTTTATCAGAAACCACTATCAAGAACCCCGTCTGGACAAATTTCAAATGCATTTGAAACAAAAGGTAGAATATCTAATTTATATTTTTTCTGTCAAATTCATTATCAGTTATAAATTAGAACAAATTTGTTTTTGGATAGACATATTAAGTTTAGGGAAACAATGCAAATACACGGGAGTGCACCATGTATTTTTAAGCTTTTTAAAGATTTTTTGAAATTATTTCTGAGTACAACATACTAGGCACCCTGAGCTTCAGAGCTAACTTGACACTAACCTTTTCACTGTAGNAGTGTCAAGTTATCTCTGAAGCTCAGGGTGGGATTATTGGATCAGATGAGGCAAAGGCTGTTTGGAAAACAGGAACGATTTGCCTTCCCAGAATCAAAACTAATTTCATGCCAGCAGCATTTGAAACAAGATATAACAATGTACCTGAAAGACTAAATTGGCACATCTTTGGAAGAAAGAGGACAACACATTTCCTTGTTATTTGGATACCTTGGACTTGCAAATTCTACAACTAGCCTATATTTGATGAAGGAAAAAAGAAGTGCCCATGTGTGTAAGAAACAGTGTCCCAGCGTTTGAAGTTTATTTTGTACTGCTTATCATCAGGGACAACCAGGACAGTTAACTGAAGATGCGAAGTTGCACATAGATGGTCTTGGACTTATTGCGAATCGTTGAACCATATTTTGAAGTTGAAAACAGGTTGGAAGCAAGTTGACATACCCAAGTTGTGTTAGATTCACGCCCAGAGAAACTCGTTTGCAATTATTATGAAGATGTAGAGAGGGCAATTATGCAAAGGGGCGAATGTTAACTATGTGTAGATAGCAGATGGATATAAAAATTTTCTTGTGGGTTTCAACGATTGGGAAAGGAAATCCTCCCAGCAAAGAAGACAATGCTTCAAGAAATCACTCTGCAAGCTGCTGAAGCTCATGGTTGCATTAAAAGTTTTCTTTGCCCACCAGTCTCCATCATGTGGAAAGAAACCATATCAAAGGAAGAAACCCTGCGCCACCTGAACAACTTTTCCATGCAAATAATTATAGTAACAAAATAAATAAACAATTATAATGAATAAATGCATATTAACAATTTATACCTACAGTAAGGTTGAGGATGAATAATAACCCAAGATTTTAATCTCCTCAGTGGAAGTCCTCCTGAATGAGTCCATGCTAACAAACTTTAAGAGAGGCAATGCTGTGGACCCCACCATTGAAGTAACAGCCCTGTGTGCCCAGTTGGACTTCCTCTGTCTAAAGGAGATGGAACTTCAGGATAGAAGAGGCACAACAAATGAAAAGGTAGAGCTTATCACATGCAATAATTATAAGGATACTTATTATAGTTCTATTTATAATTTTTTAAATGCAAATCATAATGTGTACAAATATATTTTAAGTTTGCAATGCAAATTTTGAGATATAAAGAAAGGAAAATGTTAATAAAAACAATTTCATTTATGTATAATAAAAAAAAAAAAACTTTTTTTTTCAGTTCAGTTCTAAAAGTCCATTAAAAAGTCATTGAAAAACATGCTAGAGGCATGAAATCTCAGTTTTGATTTTTTTTCTATGCTGTATGCACATTTACAAATGGAGAGTGAAATTTTCCCATTTGGTTTCCTTATCTAATGTAATGGCATTGTGACTTAAGTGCATGCATAGAATTGAAAAGAGGATATCTAGGATATCATCTACTAGTGCATGTATGAAACGTAGGTTGCTTTCAACTTAAAAAATAATAGTAAACTAAAAGTGATAACTACATGTTTCTCTTTTTTATCAGAAACCACTATCAAGAACCCCATCTGGACAAATTTCAAATGCATTTGAAACAAAAGGTAGTATATCTAATTTATATTTTTTCTGTCAAATTCATTATCAGTTTTAAATTACAACACATTTGTTTTTGGATATACATATTAAAGCAATAATAACTCTTCCTTTGAGATTCAAATTTCCGCATGAAATACATTGTAAACAACGCATGGAAATATATTCTATTGTATTTTACCACTAAAACGGCCGTTATTGTAGTAAAACTAAAATCTGTGCTTGTCAATAGGGCTTACGATGCTTTTCTTCCCGGTCATCAAGGCATTCGTTGCTAATGACGTAATGGTGTCACGCGGATTCTCGCGTTCATTCGAGACCAAAATAACATATGGCGGCAAACGCATTAATGCAGACGCAGACGTAAGTTGCGAGTTTTTGTACAGTGCGTCGGATAACGAAAAGCCCAGAATGGCACACATTGTGGATATTAATGTATTTTTAACAAAAAGACGAATATATCTCATGAATCTTATATAGTGTTGTTGTTGTCTGCTTTTCCCGCGGTTTTAAGTAGGTCAACAGTGACTATGCGATGTCAGAGAGAGCTCCGTCAGTTAAAATCTCTTAAGAGATTTTAACAAAAAACCGTACGTTTAGGAAAAAAACCCTGGATTAACTTTGANTTTTCAGATCACATTACAGTTCTGTGTAAGCTGAATCAAGTCGTCAATATGGCCCACCAGTTGAATAGCGACATAGCCAATATCACCAATCATAAATATGTGGCTCACCAAATAGCTTTACTCTATGTAAGTATCCAAACAATTGGTGCTATAGAATGCATTTGTCACCAAAGGTATGCGTGAAGATTCATATCAAATTACTGTATAGGTCTTCAAGATATAAATAAGTTATCATAATCATTAATGATGCATCTATGAAGATCTACTATAACATTACTTATATGACATATGCTGCTATAATATTACTACTATTACAACAATTACACACATATATATATATATATATATACACTACTGTTACATCTTTATAGTAGATCTTCATAGTTGCATCAAAAGTATATGCGTTTAACATTACGTATATATATATATGTGCATAGTAAGCAAGAATCTATCAGCATTCATGGTCAATCATAAGGTCAAAAATCAGTCAAGAAGAAAGGTTGATTTACAACAGTGCTACCCTTTGTCTCTTTATCCAGCAATAAAAATAATATTAAAATAATAATTATAATATTTGCTATTTTTATTATTTTATTGAAAACAGATAAAACACTTTAAGTAAGATCCCTCTGACCCATGGCCCTCTGATGGTTAATGTAGTGGGTTTTAGGAACCAAATTTAAGAAAAAAATTAAGATTAAATTTTTGATCAGGAATTCATTAATCAATTAAACAAAATAATCTATCTATCTTCCAGCAATCTATATGCACAAATGCCTTGAAGAAATGCACTTTCCTGCAGCCATATCAAAAAAGCATCGAAGACAACTTTAAACATGTGAAGAACACAATAAACAGTTCTGGGGATACCCCACATGTTACTCAACAGCAAAAACAGTGGTAAGTTTTGATTATTGTATAAACTGTACTAGTATATAAGTTATTTTCTCTAGACAGGTAAGCCTGTGAAAAAAAAAAAGAAATTTATTTATTTATGCCATCGACTACCAGTTGTGCAGTAAAATAACTGAGTTCAAAAACAGATTGATCATTACATAAGTACGCCAACAGAAATGTTGACAAATGTTGCTTTGTTTTGCTTGTTTTAAAAGATGGATAAAATTTGCCTTTGTATGCTTTCAGTTAGTCTTTGAAATAACATGTGAAAGTTGTCTTGAAATAATATGATCATGTACAAGAAATGGATGATATGATCTGTGCAGAGGCTTGACATTTTCAAAACATTCTCTCCTTTCAAGGCTCTTGGATTTGACTAGTGGCATAGTGAACACCGCTGTCTCCCAACTACGCAGCATCATTCCTCCTGACATTGCCATGGTTACCAGACCTACGAAGTAATCTCTACCATAGCAACATACTTTAACCTTTGCAAAACGTACATTACAATTGTCACGGGGGTCGTTTTTAGAACCCACGAGGTCAGAATAGGGAAACGCACAGCTTCATATTCAAGTGCGTTGAACTAAATTATATCTCCACTATTGTTATGTCTCCTAGCTGCTTAATTCACCAGAAGGTGGACGGGAAAGAAACCAATAATAGGTTCATCCATGTTCACGATCACCGCAAGTCCACAGAACAATAATGTCCGTAAGGGAACTGTGCAATGCTAACTACAATATTGCTGCTGCCTACGGGTTTGCGATTTTAGAGAATTGTCAAAAGTTTTAGCTTGACAAAATCGTAGAGGCTGCGTAGGCCGTGAAACCGTATTGTTTCGTACGGCCGCCTTCTACTGACATACGATCGCAAAAAGGGATATAAGGGCATCGTGCATATATCGCATGACAAATGTAATGTACACTTTACTGCTCTTGAAAAAGTTTGATAGAGGATATAAGTGCAGGCTGTTTAAAGGGGAAATACTCAACAGTTTTCTTTTTTTTTTTTTGTGTCACCTATGGCAGTATAATAAATACAGGTATAAGGCTACAATTATTAAGGCAGAGATAGAGCCAAACAAATATATTGTCATTTTTGTATATTTATTGTGTTTTGTCCATTTTTTTTGTGAAAAAGGTTCAGTTATTGGAGTATAGATTGCTTTGCTACTTTATACAACAGATGTAATATGTTATGTAAATGCATCTTGTTTTTTATGCGTCAGTCGCCTATGAATTGGTGATTTGTTTTTGATGTATCATTTGACCTTACATGTACAATGATTTTTCATGAGACGCATATGTTCACATATATTTCTCTGCCAGATGTCACTGGATATTCTCAAATATTTCTCTGCCAGATGTCACTATATACAGTATTCACATATATTTCTCTGGCTATTCAAATTTTTGTTCGACAAGATCTGCTCATCAGCTACGTCATCAGATGGACAGCATCTGGCAGAGAGAAGAATGTTTAGGAATGACATTTTTTCTTTTTTTACAAACATTTTGGCAGGGCAAGTGCCAAAAAACGGATTTTCCTGAGGTAAACAACGAACTTCCCACTCTTACCAGTGGTAAATAAATCCGTTCAAACATTCAAAGTTAATCGATTATTTTTTATTTATCTTTTTTTTTGTAATAATCACTTAAGAGAGTGTTCCGGAGGGTAGCCATATGTGAAGGTCCACGTGGCCCGACGGCAAGCACACATTTCAGAATAATTGCGCTAACCGCCGTTTTGGTGGTAAATGCTTTATTTCTAGTGTTGTTTACAATTCGTGTATTTTGGTATTTCGAATCTCGGATGAAAAGTTGTTACCCCTTTAAAATGTGTGCTCAAGCATGTAACAATCAAAAGCAATGCAAAATGTGCAATGGAAAAAGTATTATTTTTTTATTTTGTTTTTCTTTGTAGTGTCTTGTTTGTTCAGCCATGATGCTGTAATTGTGATCTAGCCTGTAACTAATTGTGAACAAAGGCTTTATATTCCTGTGCTTCAAAATGATAGAAATTCGGCTGAATGGAAGAAGACGTGATAGATTTTGTTTGGTGTTTATGGGCAATCCTCATTATAATTATTGTCATTATTAGTATTAGTATTTGTTTATATTTCTCTTTTATTTAAGCTTGAGTTCACACTGTTCAGTTTCCCTTAATCCGGGTGTTTTCCGGGGTTTTATAGACTGTTAATTCTTTGTATGTTCTTAGAGTTGGCTTATATTTGTTAAATTTGTTTGCCGTGAAAAGAAATACATATTTTGTAATACATATAGCTGTTTATTTTGATGTCTCTTTTTTTAAACATAAAATCTTAAGAAAATGCCAAATAAGATTGTTTAACCATTTTAAAAAGTCGTGTCATTCTACACGTTTATTTCTTGCGAGAGCTCATACCTGTATGTCCTCATTTCTCGACATTTATAAGTTTCCGTCACCTTATAAAAAATCGATGTTTACAGAACGTAGACCGTTGCAGTGATACCCTAATATTTGAAAGCTTGATATATAAGCTGGGTATTTTGAAATGACTGGCGCATTTACCAGGTGTGCGTGACGGTCATCTTGGGTTTCAGTCAAACGGTTGTACCTCATTGCTTTTATTGTTTTCAAAATACCTTGGCATTTCTCAGAGCGTGTTATTTAACTTAGTTCCGGAGAATATCACTTGACGCCAGTGGAAGAAATAGTGTCTGGCAACACACTCGTTTCTCCGATCCGTGCAACACCCAGGCGGTCGCAAAATAAATCTGCTTCTGATTGGACCTCTTTTGTCCAATCAATAAGGTAGTCCCGCCCTCTTTTTCCATGCGTGTCCAAGTTAGTTACGTACATCCCTTTCTGGGAGTCGCGATCCATGGCCTTGCAAGCTTCTGAAGCAGACTCCACTGGCAAGTCGCAGTATTGCAGCAGTAGCTTACAGGCGTGGTGCGGATTCTCCATCAAATCTTCATACTTGAAGGATTTAATGGCCATGCCGATCTGTTTGAATCTGCGGTAATTAGCGCATATGGTTGCCCAGCTCGCGACGTAATATCCTATAATGGAAACACGCGCCACCAGCTCGGTGTCCCCCAACCACGGGTACGTTTCCGTGTCGACTCCCAGGTCCCATTGGAATCGGGCCAGGTGCGGAAAAAGGTAGTGGACAATGCGGCTCGTTTGCAAAGCATGCGAGCGTTTGGTTTGTGGAAGAGAAGCGAAGGCATGGTAATACGACTGGACGGTTTCTTTGCCGTTCCGATATAAGAATAGATGTTTGATTTGTGGTACAACGCGCGCCACTATGTCCGCAAAAACAAAATTCTCAGCTCTTGGTTTGATACAAATGAGTCGAGGGTTGCTATCCTGAATCGGTTTGCATGTGAGTCGAACTACGCTCCTCACGTGCTTTTCAAATTCCTCGCGGGAGGTCCGTTTCATGATGATATTCAGACTTGTGTACCCGCCTGGTTCGCTCATAGACACAACTTTCGGTACCGATTCGAGAATTTGCGTGACTGCCGTAGATCCACATCGCCCTGTGTTAGAGAGTAACAGCACATCACCTTTTGGATCACCGATTTCAGCGGCGATTCTATGAAATGACGAAATAGGCAGTACAATTAAACGAGTAGCATAATCAAACTGTGCCATGTACATAAAAGGGTTAAGCTCAGAACTGTAGATGTCTACTGTCTTGGGCGTTTCAACAAACAAAACCTCTTTCTCGTCGACGTAAATCAGCGTGATATTTTCCCCCATTATGCACCGCGGATGTGCGAAATGACTGTGGGTGGCAATGAATTTGTCCGACTCTGCTTCTCGTGAAGGGTCTAATTTGCATTTCCATATGATGTTTTTAACCTGGGCAGATTGCTCGTACAGTTGACCATTCCTTGCAAGTCGCAGTGTGTTAGCGGTGCCGTTACATTGCCACCAAATGCGCTGTGCTAAACTAAAGAGGAACCGACACGTGCGGAAAATCCACCACCGAAGCTGAATCATATCTCCTGAAACATGTTTGAAAGCATTTGAGTAAGTAACCTAGGGTAACATGGTGCTCCATTAAAAAATAAATAAATAAATAAATAAATAAATAAATAATAAAATGAAATAAACTGAATTAGTACACAGCAGTCTGTCGTCAATAATTGTTTAATCTCTTTGCATTACTTTTAGGTCAAATTAAAAGTCCATTTATTAAATCGGGCACATGGACGTCCTGTGTGTAACAGGTATACAAGAGGACGAAAACGGAACACTGATCGGCTTCTCCGTTGTATATCATGCGTTGGTGAACAAGGGGCGATGATGCACCTATTGGTCCTCTGATGAGGTGCCCTTATCCTTGATGACGGTACTCTGTACTGAGTTTATGTGCTTTCTGGTAGAGATACAGTGAATGTGTGCATATGCAGCTTTGGCAGATGTGAAAATGCATAGGCCTATGCCACATCTGCGCAGGGTGTTGGTCCTTGACTGGCCGTACATAGATATGTGATTTGTTGACCTTGTATTCCCCCAAAGATCCCATTTCACCGTACCATGCGGTATAACGTATACGTATCACGGTGTATAACCTACTTATCTCAAGCCTTACATAGGGTATATACCCCGGTATACTCACTGCTATATTGGATCCCATGACACCCCCGCTATATCACGCGTGGGTGCCGTTACTATTAGTATAAAATTATTAATTTACAGTGTATATATTATAAGTATAGATTTATTTAAACGTCATAGTTGGCGTTTAATATCCGCATTTTGTTAAGTAATGAATATGGTCAAACCGATTTAAGGTGATATAGTCTCGAACGCGATCCACAACAAGATACCACAATCACTGTACCAACCAGCGACTTGAGATGGAATGCCACTACACGAGACCATAACCCCTGGCGAAATTGTTACAGGAACTGCCAATCTGTTTGATGCTATGGGCTCGCACGGGTACATGTACATATTTGTAGACCGAGTGCCTCCTTCGATTGTCTGTAATGATAACGGTCATCTTGCTTGATCATGAACCTATAAGGTATCACTCACCCGCCTCATGGAAGACTGTCTTAGCAAGAAGGATTGGTTCGGGTAAGCAACAGCAATGCGCGGCACATACACCGCTGTACATGTATAAGGAAACGGTGTGACCAAGTCATTGTTACACTGGACTGCCGACTTCCGACTCTTTAATTCTCTGTTTGGACAACAGAAGGTCACTGAGATAAAATGGACGGATCTCTCATGGGATGGGTTTAGATGTACACTTGTGCTGTTGCACCCACTTTGTGACTGACCTTTTATACTGTATCAGTAAATGATATACCGGGCCAATTTAATAAACATAGTTGCGGTACTGAGTTCATATGAAGCTTAGGAAAGCAACGATGATAATGATCTTAAAGTATCTATTTTCATTCAATGTATTTCCCATTGGGTTAGTTGCAAAAGAAAGCACATTCCGTCATTTGACTAAAAAATCAACAGATTCTGGCATTTGCAAACACATGCAGTGCGTACAAGCACGAACTGAAGGCAGAATATGACATGCATGGCCATCATATAAATGCACAATGCAATTTTAATTATTATATATTATTAAAACTAGGAACTAGTGTTAGCGACCACTTCAGTATGTTTGAATATACATTAAATACAATAGCCAGAGTATAGCCATCAATGGAGGTCGCGTGGTCTAAAGATAAGCTCAGATATCAGAAAAATAGCTATAACTGCCGTTTTTGTGGTAAAACAGAATATATTTTATTTCTATGAGTTATTCACAATGTTTTTATTGTGAAATATAGATCTCATAGGAAGAGTTATTATCCTTTTAACATTCTTCTTATACTGCGTTTCTTTGCAGTTGGTTGAATCCACACACAGTGGATTATATATGCATTACAAATGGCCATAAGAAAATGGTTGGACTTTATTTCTGCAACCAGTCCAAACCAGAATATAGCAATGCATGGATTCTGGCTGAGGCAATCTCTTAAAATTGTTGTCCAGTAAGGTCCAGCATGGCATGGTTTTTGCAAATCCAAAATATATTTCGTATGCGAAGGATGCTGCCCCCGCTCAATACGGATATTTGATATACTTCTCAATTAATCTTTAAAACGACCCATTATGCGGTTACCATTTCCACAATGTATATGCTCTCTGCCGCGTGAAGTACGGAGTCACAGTAAGGGGGATGTGCCATTACTGTACCCTCACCGCTGGACCTAAGTTTAATTTTTCTACAAATTCTCTAATCATTTAAATCAAAAGCAGGATGATCTCGAATGTCACCCATTCAAAGGTAGAAATACAATTAATACTCACACTAGAGGTCGTTCTAGAGATCACATCTCCTGAAGGAACATTGTTTCCAATATCAACTCCTCTTTGTTCCCAGATGAGTAAAACCTGTTGCTAACTGTGACATCTTGCTCAACGGATAGTACCGCGTGCAAGACAGCACCAATGAGATTTATTAACATACATAATGAATATACATAGACAACACGTGGCACAGTAAACTTGAACGCTGTGACCCAGTTCCTGCATCTCGTTGTCTTTGGTTAACATCAGTCGACAGTGACAAAATGGATGGGTCGTCGATGGGCTACAACTTTCTAGGCAGCTCAGGACTGAAGGTGTCGAACATTTGCATGGGCACCATGACATTCGGGGAGCATAAAGTGAGTATTGCTGTTGTTTGTTAATGCTGAGGTACTGTTTGAAGTATCTGCTGTTCAACTTACACGTTTATTCCACGTAACCTTGATTATTACATGATGTGAGACGGTTACTGAAGACTCGAATGCGGACTCTAAAGCATAATCTCTGTTCCATGCGATAGCTGTAAATACCCACTCGTTTATACCAGCAAACCATCTACATGTATGCCATATAAAATCATTTGAATAATTTAGAGTTACCTGTAGCGCTACAATGCACGTCATAATTGAGAATGCTACTGTGTAGTATGCTGTATTACAGATATCTGTGATAATTTGTTTGATATGATTTATATTTTCAGATAACTATAAGATAACCCTCCCTCCCCCCCCCCCAAAAAAAAAAAAAAATGCATCCATATTTCTAAATCTTTTTGAAATGACTATAACCTATTATTTCTACCGGATCGTAGAAATTTACTTTATATTTTTATTATGTCTTGTCCTTAAGAGAGCATTCACATTGATAAGAGCCGAGGTCTAGCAAGGTAGAGACCTAAGTATGGCGGACCTACATGAAAAGAAGGCCGCGTAATCTTTTAATGGGCTCTCAATGACATTCTCAATGAAATTCATTGTGAATGCTTTCTAAGTATATGTTTTTGACTAAAATAATCAAGTCATGCTTGTTTTTATTCATATTACGTAAATCAACAGGGAGGCCGGCCTGGCAACCTGGATGAAGCAGCAGCACACGCTATGATGGACAGGTTTGCTGAGTTAGGAGGAAACTTTCTGGACACAGCCGACATCTACCAAAGAGGAGAGTCGGAGGAGATAGTGGGAACGTGGCTTCAGAAGTAATGATAACTTTTGTTTTCAAACAAGAGACTGCATAAAATTGCACTCTGAAAATGAGTTGGAAATTGAGTTTGACGTTTTTGCCAATGGCCTGAATAATGCATCTTTATATATAGATATGATGTCATATGTTTTAGGTAACAAAAATATTACATAATAGCACCACTATCAGTTCTGAAATATATGTAAGGGTTTATCTAGTCTTGTATAATATAAAAATGGTTTCATCAACTTGTTTACAGGCAGGATCGGGAGAAATTTGTGGTTGCCACAAAAGTATTTGCACACGTGTATCTCAACAACCTTAATGGCGTGGGTCTGGGTAGAAAACACATTATGCATGCGGTGGAACAGAGTCTAAAGAGGCTGCAAACTGATTACATCGACCTCTATCAGGTATAATTTTTTTATTCAGGGCCCCGTATCTCGAAAGCATCGCGTATTGCGAATAGCTTTATCAAATAGAGGCTACAATATATTATATGGGGCGAGTATGGGCGAGTTATGGAATCGAGACGCTGGCGCAATGCGCGATGCTTTCGAGATACGGGGGGCCTGGTCTTCTCTGTTATTTGGTGTTTATCTTTTTATCTTTTATCCCATGCACACAGTGTACATGAACCACTGGGATCTTTTAGCGCCAGACAATAGTTGGTATCATAATAGATACGATTATTTAGTTCTAATCGCTTGTACGTGTTGTTGTTTTTAATTAATTTCATTGCCCTGCATGGCCAGACACGTAGCGACAATCAAATGGAACGGTGCAGTTTTCTGACCATTGTTTTTGTTCACACCTGTCACTCGCGTGGATCAATGCAACAGTGCTAATTCCAATATATTTATAATCCCCAATAAACCGAGAGGTTTTAACAAAGTCTAAGATTGAAAGTTCAACAAGTACTCACAGTATGGTTTCCAGGGCCGTAGCCTGAGCAAAATGCCGGGGGGGGGGGGGGGGGGGGGGGGAAGGGGGAAGGGGGGGGGGACCCCCCGGGGGGGGGGGGGGGGGGGGGGGGGGGCCCCCCCCCCGGGGGGGGGAATTTTTTAAAAAANTGTAGCTGTTTATTTTGATGTCTCTTTTTTTAAACATAAAATCTTAAGAAAATGCCAAATAAGATTGTTTAACCATTAAAAAAGTCGTGTCATTCTACACGTTTATTTCTTGCGAGAGCTCACACCTGTATGTCCTCTTTTCTCGACATTTATAAGTTTCCGTCACCTCATAAAAAATCGATGTTTACAGAACGCAGACCGTTGCAGTGTTACCCTAATATTTGAAAGCTTGATATATAAGCTGGGTATTTTGAAATGACTGGCGCATTTACCATGTGTGCGTGACGGTCATCTTAGGTTTCAGTCAAACGGTTGTACCTCATTGCTTTTATTGTTTTCAAAATACCTTGGCATTTCTCAGAGCGTGTTATTTAACTTAGTTCCGGAGAATATCACTTGACGCCAGTGGAAGAAATAGTGTCTGGCAACACACTCGTTTCTCCGATCCGTGCAACACCAAGGCGGTCGCAAAATAAGTCTGCTTCTGATTGGACCTCTTTTGTCCAATCAATAAGGTAGTCCCGCCCTCTTTTTCCATGCGTGTCCAAGTTAGTTACGTACATCCCTTTCTGGGAGTCGCGATCCATGGCCTTGCAAGCTTCTGAAGCAGACTCCACTGGCAAGTCGCAGTATTGCAGCAGTAGCTTACAGGCGTGGTGCGGATTCTCCATCAAATCTTCATACTTGAAGGATTTAATGGCCATGCCGTTCTGTTTGAATCTGCGGTAATTAGCGCATATGGTTGCCCAGCTCGCGACGTAATATCCTATAATGGAAACACGCGCCACCAGCTCGGTGTCCCCCAACCACGGGTACGTTTCCGTGTCGACTCCCAGGTCCCATTGGAATCGGGCCAGGTGCGGAAAAAGGTAGTGGGCAATGCGGCTCGTTTGCAAAGCATGCGAGCGTTTGGTTTGTGGAAGAGAAGCGAAGGCATGGTAATACGACTGGACGGTTTCTTTGCCGTTCCGATATAAGAATAGATGTTTGATTTGTGGTACAACCCGCGCCACTATGTCCGCAAAAACAAAATTCTCAGCTCTTGGTTTGATACAAATGAGTCGAGGGTTGCTATCCTGCATCGGTTTGCACGTGAGTCGAACTACGCTCCTCACGTGCCTTTCAAATTCCTCGCGGGAGGTCCGTTTCATGATGATATTCAGACTTGTGTACCCGCCTGGTTCGCTCATAGACACAACTCTCGGGACCGATTCAAGAATTTGCGTGACTGCCGTAGATCCACATCGCCCTGTGTTAGAGAGTAACAGCACATCACCTTTTGGATCACCGATTTCAGCGGCGATTCTATGAAATGACGAAATAGGCAGCACAATTAAACGAGTAGCATAATCAAACTGTGCCATGTACATAAAAGGGTTAAGCTCAGAACTGTAGATGTCTACCGTCTTGGGCGTTTCAACAAACAAAACCTCTTTCTCGTCGACGTAAATCAGCGTGATATTTTCCCCCATTATGCACCGCGGATGTGCGAAATGACTGTGGGTGGCAATGAATTTGTCCGACTCTGCTTCTCGTGAAGGGTCTAATTTGCATTTCCATATGATGTTTTTAACCTGGGCAGATTGCTCGTACAGTTGACCATTCCTTGCAAGTCGCAGTGTGTTAGCGGTGCCGTTACATTGCCACCAAATGCGCTGTGCTAAACTAAAGAGGAACCGACACGTGCGGAAAATCCACCACCGAAGCTGACTCATATCTCCTGAAACATGTTTGAAAGCATTTGAGTAAGTAACCTAGGGTAATATGGTGCTCCATTAAAAAATAAATAAATAAATAAATAAGTAAATAAATAATAAAATGAAATAAACTGAATTAGTACACAGCAGTCTGTCGTCAATAATTGTTTAATCTCTTTGCATTACTTTTAGGTCAAATTAAAAGTCCATTTATTAAATCAGGCACATGGACGTCCTGTGTGTAACAGGTATACAAGAGGACGCGTACGAAAACGGAACACTGATTGGCTTCTCCGTTGTATATCATGCGTTGGTGAACAAGGGGCAATGATGCACCTATTGGTCCTCTGATGAGGTGCCCTTATCCTTGATGACGGTACTCTGTACTGAGTTTATGTGCTTTCTGGTAGAGATACAGTGAATGTGTGCATATGCAGCTTTGGCAGATGTGGAAATGCATAGGCCTATGCCACATCTGCGCAGGGTATTGGTCCTTGACTGGCCGTACATAGATATGTGATTTGTTGACCTTGTATTCCCCCAAAGATCCCATTTCACCGTACCATGCGGTATAACGTATACGTATCACGGTGTATAACCTACTTATCTCAAGCCTTACATAGGGTATATACCCCGGTATACTCACTGCTATATTGGATCCCATGACACCCCCCGCTATATCACGCGTGGGTGCCGTTACTATTAGTATAAAATTATTAATGTACAGTGTATATATTATAAGTATAGATTTATTTAAACGTTATAGTTGGCGTTTAATATCCGCATTTTGTTAAGTAATGAATATGGTCAAACCGATTTAAGGTGATATAGTCTCGAACGCGATCCACAACAAGATACCACATTCACTGTACCAACCAGCGACTTGAGATGGAATGCCACGTACTACACGAGGCCATAACCCCTGGCGAAAATGTTACAGGAACTGCCAATCTGTTTGATGCTATGGGCTCGCACGGGTACATGTACATATTTGTAGACCGAGTGCCTTCTTCGATTGTCTGTAATGATAACGGTCATCTTGCTTGATCATGAACCTAAGGTATCACTTACCCGCCTCATGGAAGACTGTCTTAGCAAGAAGGATTGGTTCGGGTAAGCAACAGCAATGCGCGGCACATACACCGCTGTACATGTATAAGGAAACGGTGTGACCAAGTCATTGTGACACTGGACTGCCGACTTCGGACTCTTTAATTCTCTGTTTGGACAACAGAAGGTCACTGAGATAAAATGGACAGATCTCTCATGGGATGGGTTTAGATGTACACTTGTGCTGTTGCACCCACTTTGTGACTGACCTTTTATACTGTATCAGTAAATGATATACCGGGCCAATTTAATCAACATAGTTGCGTTACTGAGTTCATATGAAGCTTAGGAAAGCAACGATGATAATGATCTTAAAGTATCTATTTTCATTCAATGTATTTCCCATTGGGTTAGTTGCAAAAGAAAGCACATTCCGTCATTTGACTAAAAAATCAACAGATTCTGGCATTTGCAAACACATGCAGTGCGTACAAGCACGAACTGAAGGCAGAATATGACATGCATGGCCATCATATAAATGCACAATGCAATTTTAATTATTATATATTATTAAAACTAGGAACTAGTGTTAGCGACCACTTCAGTATGTTTGAATACACATTAAATACAATAGCCAGAGTATAGCCATCAATGGAGGTCGCGTGGTCTAAAGATAAGCTCAGATATCAGAAAAATAGCTATAACTGCCGTTTTTGTGGTAAAACAGAATATATTTTATTTCTATGAGTTATTCACAATGTTTTTATTGTGAAATAAAGATTTCATAGGAAGAGTTATTATCCTTTTAACATTCTTCTTATACTGCGTTTCTTTGCAGTTGGTTGAATCCACACACAGTGGATTATATATGCATTACAAATGGCCATAAGAAAACGGTTGGACTTTATTTCTGCAACCAGTCCAAACCAGAATATAGCAATGCATGGATTCTGGCTGAGGCAATCTCTTAAAATTGTTGTCCAGTAAGGTCCAGCATGGCATGGTTTTTGCAAATCCAAAATATATTTCGTATGCGTAGGATGCGGGCCCTGCTCAATACGGATATTTGATATACTTCTCAATTAATCTTTAAAACGACCCATTATGCGGTTACCATTTCCACAATGTATATGCTCTCTGCCGCGTGAAGTACGGAGTCACAGTAAGGGGAATGTGCCATTACTGTACCCTCACCGCTGGACCTAAGTTTAATTTTTCTACAAATTCTCTAATCATTTAAATCAAAAGCAGGATGATCTCGAATGTCACCCATTCAAAGGTAGAAATACAATTGATACTCACACTAGAGGTCGTTCTAGAGATCACATCTCCTGAAGGAACATTGTTCCTCTTTATTCCCAGATGAGTTAAACCTGTTGCTACCGGTAACTGTGACATCTTGCTAAACGGATAGTACCGCGTGCAAGACAGCACCAATGAGATTTATTAACATAAATAATGAATATACATAGACAACACGTGGCACAGTAAACTTGAACGCTGTGACCCAGTTCCTGCATCTCGTTGTCTGTGGTTAACATCAGTCGACAGTGACAAAATGGATGGGTCGTCGATGGGCTACAACTTTCTAGGCAGCTCAGGACTGAAGGTGTCGAACATTTGCATGGGCACAATGACATTCGGGGAGCATAAGGTGAGTATTCCTGTTGTTTGTTAATGCTGAGGTACTGTTTGAAGTATCTGCTGTTCAACTTACACGTTTATTCCACGTAACCTTGATTATTACATGATGTGAGACGGTTACTGAAGACTCGAATGTGGACTTTAAAGCATAATCTCTGTTCCATGCGATAGCTGTAAATACCCACTCGTTTATACCAGCAAACCATCTACATGTATGCCATATCAAATCATTTGAATAATTTAGAGTTACCTGTAGCACTACAATGCACGTCATAATTGAGAATGCTACTGTGTAGTATGCTGTATTACAGATATCTTTGATAATTTGTTTGATATGATTTATATTTTCAGATAACTATAAGATAACCCTCCCTCCCCCCCCCCCCCCGAAAAAAATGCATCCATATTTCTAAATCTTTTTGACTATAACCTATTATTTCTACCGGAACGTAGCAATTTACTTTATATTTTTATTATTTCTTGTCCTTAAGAGAGCATTCACATTGATAAGAGCCGAGGTCTAGCAAGGCCGAGACCTAAGTATGGCGGACCTACATGAAAAGAAGGCCGCGTAATCTTTTAATGGGCTCTCAATGACATTCTCAATGACATTCATTGTGAATGCTCTCTAAGTATATGTTTTTGACTAAAATAATCAAGTCATGCTTTTTTTTATTCATATTACGTAAATCAACAGGGAGGCCGGCCTGGCAACCTGGATGAAGCAGCAGCACACGCTATGATGGACAGGTTTGCTGAGTTAGGAGGAAACTTTCTGGACACAGCCGACATCTACCAAAGAGGAGAGTCGGAGGAGATAGTGGGAACGTGGCTTCAGAAGTAATGATAACTTTTGTTTTTAAGCAAGAGTGTTTGCATAAAATGCACTCTGAAAATGAGTTGGAAAATAAGTTTGACTTTTTTGCCAAAGGCCTGAATAATGCATCTTCATATATAGATATGATGTCATATGTTTTAGGTAAAAAGAAAAATATTACATAATCGCACCACTATCAGTTCTGAAAGATATGTAAGGGTTTATCTAGCTTTGTATTATATAAAAATGGTTTCATCAACTTGTTTTCAGGCAGGATCGGGAGAAATTTGTGGTTGCCACAAAAGTATTTGCACACGTGTATCTCGATAACCTTAATGGCGTGGGTCTGGGTAGGAAACACATTATGCATGCGGTGGAACAGAGTCTAAAGAGACTGCAAACTGATTACATCGACCTGTATCAGGTATAGAATTTTTATTCAGGGCCCCGTATCTCGAAAGCATCGCGTATTGCGAATAGCTATATCAAATACAGGCTACAATGTATTATATGGGACGAGTATGGGCGAGTTATGGAATCGAGGCTCTTGCGCACGGTTGCAATGCGCGATGCTTTCGAGATACGAGGGGCCTGGTCTTCTCTGTTATTAGGTGTTTATCTTTTTATCTTTTATCCCATCCACACAGTACTATTGTACATGAACCACTGCAAACTTTTAGCACCTGGCTATAGTTGGTGTCACAATAGATAAGATTATTTAGTTCTCATCGATTGTAAGTGTTGTTGTTTTTAATTAGTTTAATTGCCCTGGCCAGACATGCAGCGACAATCAAATGGAACGGTGCAGTTTTCTGACCATTGTTTCTGTTCACACCTGTCACTCGCGTGGATCAATGCAACAGTGCTAATTTCTATATATTTATTATCCCAAATAAACCGAGTGGTTTTAACAAAGTCTAAGTTTGAAAGTTCAACAAGTACTCACTGTACCCGGTATATGGTTTCATATTGGCGTTAGTTGTACTGATTAATTTGAACTGCTGTACAGGGGGTACTGGTCCACACGTTTTAAGACCAAGATTTCATTTTTATACTTTACATCAAAATCAGATTTTTATATCAAATGATGGTGAGTGGTTTCTTTATAGACTCACATGTGGGATAGCGCTACTTCAGTCGAGCAAACCCTTCGTACCCTCAATGATCTTGTGCGTGCCGGAAAGGTCCGCCATGTTGGCGTGAGTAACGTGACAGGATGGCAGTTACAGAAAATTGTGGACCACACTAGATTCATGGGTCTGGAGAGTGTTATTAGCCTACAGGTTTGTTAGGATTTGAAATGCATACATAAATTAATGTTTTATATGTCAGTTTTATATTGCCATTATGGCTATAAAACATGGTATACCATATAATAATAATAATAATAATGATAATAATTATTATGCATAAATAAACAAAGAAAGAACAATATCAATCCTGAAAATTTCATAAATTAACTTATATCATCAAGGCATTTCCAATACAAAGCCGTTGATACAAATAGGATCTAAAGACTATTTTCGATATTTTTTGTTTCTAATTTTGCCCTTACGAATGAGATTCACCAGCCGTCATGTGTATTACGCTAGTGGCTCAAACGTTAGAAACTTGGCACTAAAAAAAACTACATAAACAAATTATTGTCTAACATGTTGTGTTTGTAGAAGCAGTATACCTTATTTGTCACACTTAACAATTCTTCACATCTCCAGCAACAGTACAACTTGATGACCCGAGAAACAGAATACGAACTGTTTGACGTGTGTATGAATGAAGGGATCGGGTTTTTACCATGGAGTCCGCTGAAGGGGTGAGTCATGAACGAAATGTTGTCTCCTCTTTTCAAGCATAGAAGTTAAAGGGTGTCGACATACATAGATCACCGCCTTGAGGTTAATTTTCTGCTAAAACCGCCATATAACAGTCAACCATGTCATTTCGTAGTTGATAAGATTGACACCAGTTTATAATCCATGATACCATGGCCAGCAGTTGTAGACCGCTTGCAGCACACTGCATGTACTTGCATGTCCCCGTGTGAAGGGGATGATAGTCACAGGAATGGAAGTCCAGGGTCCAATATGATTAGTAAAAGCTAGGGTTAGTTGAAGTATGAGGGTTAGAATATGAGACGAATGTCGCCTGAACAAATTAAAACAATGGGGAACGGACTGTAAGGTTCTTAGCGGATTACCCTTCCCGGTTATTCAATGCTGACTCATATACAAAAGGAAAATAAGAATCGCGCCCGAACAGGGACTCGAACCCTGGACCCTCAGATAACTTGAGTATCCTTAAAAGTCTGATGCTCTACCGACTGAGCTATCCGGGCGCCGTGAAGGAATGGTGATTTGGAAAAATCCGCTCACGTACAGGTACAGTACGTTTGGGTTTCCCCCTTTCAAAACTGTGAATGTCAACAAGCATGTCAATAAAATTAAACACGTGTTTCCCTCATTCTGTTCAATACCGGTGTCCCAAGAATTCCAGGGTCCCATATGATAAGTACAGGTTAGGGTCAGTAAGAGTATCGGGGTTAGTATATGGGCCCAATGTCACCTGTACAAAGTAGTGGGGGACAGACTTCCCCCTGTACAGTCTTAGCGGACTACATATCCTGACACCCCGGTATGTTACAGTAACTTCTCTTTCTAACGTTGTATTCGGACTGTAAACACCAAAGTTCATTTGTTAATACATAGCTTATTAAATAATGAAAATGTTTTTATCTTGATTGTACATCACAGAGTACAGGCAATCGTTTCAGTGGCCTTCTAAGTGGCAAATTCAAGCGCGGGATGGACGGGCCAGGGGATGTACGGGCGACCAGAATTGGGTGGGCAAGTGAACAACCCGAGCAACGACACAGGCATGACCAGCCTACTTGGAACCACTTCAACAATGACAAGACCTGGAACCTTCTGGAAGCCATGGAAGAAATAGGAAAGGGACATGGTAATGAATGCATATTTCTGAAAATATAGCCAAATGTTTAGTTTTACAATATCACATGCACTCTCATACACATGTGAATTACTAGAAGGAAACAAAATCTAAATAAGTCCCAGATTAAGATTGCTATGTATATATGCTCATCTTGTGATAAATTTTCTTGGTCATAATTAAACATGCACTTACCGGTACACAGGGAGAGTTTGACTCAGACATCAAAGGTCCAGTCACAAAGCGCTTATCACATTTATCTTATTTTCAAAACTCAGGCAAAACCGTGGCTCAGGTAGCTATCCGCTGGTTGCTTCAGAGACCCACCGTGTCCTCTGTGGTTATAGGAGCTACAAAGATGTCACAGCTGGAAGACAATGTAGGGGCATCTAGCGGATGGGAACTGACGGAAGAGCAGGTAGGAGAGCGTTTTTCATCTTTAACTTTGATTAATTATTATTATTGTCTCAGCCAAGGAGGTTTTGTTTTGTCCTTGTTGGTTTATTAGTAAACGGTCAAAACTCGGAAGAAATTCACGGGGTTTGATGCAATTTTCGTGAATGGCTGACTTAGAATCGATTGGATTTTGGTAATTTGGTTTAAATTCGGTTATTAAACAACTAATTCTAAGGAATGAGCTTCAGTGGCGCAGGCATGCGCTCTGAGTATATTTTCTAGGTATTTGTTTGTAAAATGGGCGTCTGTGTGTGTGTGAGGAGAGAGAAAAACTGGAATAGAATAATACATTCGTGTAGTAGGTAGATCATTAAACATAATGTTTTACTGTGAATAACTTGGAGATACAGGCCTTACATATCTACAAGTTAGTTTAAAGCAATTGTGTTACATAATAATGTGATATAAAAGATACATAAAATCAACATGATTTATCGCGTTTTCCAGATGCAAGAATTAAACAGACTGTCAATGCCAGATGTACCATATCCATATAACATGATACGGCTCTTAAACAAGCCCAGGAAGGATATGTCTTTTTAATATGGATGCACGTAGTGACTATCTAACACGAGACTTTCAATCGCATTGGTATTGTGGTGTGGCCGCATTTTTTCCTGCTTTGTATTTAGCGCCTCATACGGCAGCGGGGCTGTAGCCTCCCCAGGGAGGCGAGAGCGCTAACACAGATTGTAATGACCAGGTGCCTAACCATTTGTTATATATGTAATGCACATGGTTGTAAAGTCTACTGAACACATGGAGTTTAGACTTAGAATCAACATAGTATAGTTGTTCAAACCACACAGTCTTCTGTATCTATTCTATTAGCCCATATTTTTATCCTACATTCATATGACATATATCTCATTAAAATATGTGAATAAAACATGATTCGGAAATTACTTATGCGCAATTGCCTTAAGTTTCGTATATGCTATTATGAACAAGTCTGCTCTTCCAATAACAACGTATCATGGAATGCATTAATATATAACATCACCACTGTTGCCGACCCATGCGGCAATAACATATAAAGTAAATATATATTATTGAAAATGTATTAATGGTATCCATTTTATTACACTAATTTTTGTAGTTACGGATCACAGAGTAACATATGATTAAGGTTTGGGCAGAACGTTTTGGTGAATGAATTTAGGAACGTTCGTTTAGTTGTCGCAGGGCTGGGGTTTTGAGGGGCAAACGCCATTATTTAACTTTGCCCATTATCATTGTGAACATTGCTATTATCTCGGAGTGTTGCTTCAATCGAGTAAGTCAATTTTTCTTAATTTCACATTTACAGTATTTATCATACTGACTAGTGCTATATACTTAGCGTTTATGTATCTAATTAGCTTATGATGTCATTTATTTACATCATTATTATTATCATCATAGTTATTCATCTTTTTCTTAAATGGTTTTCGCGACTCACATACACGAATCTCATAAAAAATAATGCAACGAAAGTAATATATGTGTCCGAGTTCGCAACCATTTCATCTTTATACACCCCATGATTAAGTTTGAAGGCATGTTGATTGATGCAAATTCAATGTGGCAGTAAAATTTTAAAATTGAAATCTGCTAAATTGATATATGAAAGTGGCAATGCATTTAAAGGTAATATCAATTTAAAACGGAGAATAATCACGTTGGTCATATTTTAAATACCGTGGGTTACATCACCAATGACAATCTGTTATAACATTTAACGAAAGCTTTACATAGGTTTCTGTATATTTTTAGATTATACAGAACTATACAGGTATAAATGAGGTTGTTTATAAACAAGCAGCTAGACTGTCATGCATATTTTGTGAAGAAATTGTATCCGGCAAAAAAATTGGTACACCAATTCGATTGACTCCGAAGCCATCGCAAAAGAAGTTTGATTCTGCTAACAACTCAGGGATCCATTTTATTAGATATTTGCTGTCCATGCAGCCGCCCTTCATGCTTTTCCTAGATCGAAGCATGCCTCGCTGGGAATCGTGTTTCAGAGCATTGCAAGCAACCTCAGTGTATTCCAGCGGTAAGCCGCAGTATTCCAGCAACCTCTGGCAGGCATGTCGTGGGTTTTCAATAATATCCTCGTATTTAAAGGCCTTGATATCCATACCTGCCTCTTTAAAGCGGATATACGTGTGACATAGCATTGCCCAATGGCACGCCATCATACCAACCATGGAAGTCTTAATCATTAGTTCTGGGTCTTGAAGCCAAGGCAGATCAAGAATCATCCTGTTCCATAAATATCTAGCTTGCTTTGGAAAACAACGATGAGCAAGGCGACTATTCTGCAATGCATTATAAAATAAAATTTTGGGCAAAAAGGCAATCGCATGGTAAAACGACTGTATGGTTTCTTTGCCGTTCCGATACAGAAATAAATGCTTTGTATCTGGAAAGAGACGTGCTACTCTGTCTGCGTGGATAAAATCCATTGATTTTGTTTTGATGCAAATTAATCTTGGGTTTGATTTCAGCGGCTTACACGTGACTCGGACAACGCTCTGCATAAACCTATCGACAAGTTGACTTGGTAAATGTTTCAATGCTGTTGCTATGTTTGTGAAACCGTCGGGCTCGCTCATGGACACAACCCCCGGGACTGATTCCAAGACTTGTGTGACTGCCGTTGATCCACAACGCCCAGTGTTTGACAGAAGAAGGACTTAGGTTTTAGGATCACCAATTTCATCTGCGATTCTGTGAATTGATGTGATCGGCATGACAATTAAACGAATGGCATGTTTGAATTGTGCACAGAACAGAAAGGGGCTCACGTTCGAACTAAATATGTTCACCGAAGAAGTGGTCTGGGTGAAATAAGCCTCTCTCTCATCCAGGCATATCAAAGTGACATCTTGCATGAGTATGCAACGCGGGTGGTCAAAGTAACTGTGAGTGGCGATGAAATTATTAGGCCCCGTCGCCAACACATCCCATTTACACTTCCAGACGATATTACTGACCTGGGCTGATTTTTCGTACAACTGACCATCTCGTATTTGTCGAAGTGTGTAAGCGGTGCCAGTGATCCTCCACCACAGTCGTTGGACATTGACAAAAATGAAGCGGCAGATGCAGAATCCAATCCAAATGAAAAGTTTCATTTTTATCTGTAATATACATTATGTAAAATAAATTTCGATTTGCATTGAAAACCCAGAAAGACGTCTAAGTAAGTAATTTTCCTTTGAATTTAAAAAGATGGAAGTTTGCATAATTCAAAAGTACAAAATGTCTTAAAAAATGACATTTTATAAGGGAATATTTTTTTGCCGTAAAATTTCAGTACTTGGGGAACTTATTAAAAAAAACGCCATACCTACTGTTATAGAAAGCTTTTTTTTCAGGGTGACTGTCCGCTGAACTGTAGCTGTGTATAGGTGATTCAAGTATGGATATAATCTGGATCCTTTTTCTGTCGTGTATCGACCCCACTTATAAGCAGCGACCAAGTTAATCGTGCAGTATTAACGAAATATGTGCACAGTTTGTTACTCTGCTGCATGTAAATTACACACAAATGACCATTTCACATGAAACATTGCCCATATTCTTAAACTTTTAGTCGCGTAGCAGCTGACATACGAAGGGTGAAGTAGAGGCCACCAAAATTTTTAATGCGTCTTTTATTCAGTATAAATGTATTTGCGACCCAGTTGGACACTGTAATATAAAATACAACGTACGCCAATGAGTCTGCATAATTTACTTGTACACTTATCTTCGACAGATAAAGGTTGACCCACCTTCAGTCCTATATGCAATAGTTAACAAAAGATCATGGCGGCTGCAAACCGTTTAAAATTGCATTTTTATCCTTTATACCATGTTTAACATGGCTTAGGCCGAAGAAAACCCCAAATACCGGCGAGGATAGCCACATTTTATACATGTACCATTTATTCAAATTAAGAAATGTAGTCCCTGAAATATGATTTTGCACTGTGATTTCCATAGAAGTATAATAATAATAATAATTTTTATTATAATTATAATAATAATAACGCCACCGAATGTCAAGAAACTATTACACAGTTAACATCAGAATGCGCATTTGAAAAACCACGTGCATTTTTTTCACGAGCGTCGTACATTGTCTCAATCTTCCTGAAAAACTTGGTGGAGTTGTTTTATATTGGTAGGGGTTTCATTCTTCAGTGCATCGCACTCTCTAAATCATCCTACAGATACTCATTAGGGTTAATGTTTGAGGTAAAGGAAGGTTTTTTTCCTCCTTACCTTATGCCCAAGGTTTTGGAACACAACATTAATGGGTCCATAACCGTAACATTCTTTACATATGAATCATTTCATTTGCAAGAGGTGACAACAAGCTTCATCGTGACAACACACTTGCTCAATGTTCTCGTGTGGTGATTATCTGTCGCATAACGCAATGTTCCCATAAGTGAAGCTACTTTTGAATGCGAGTTTACTTAAGAAACAATATAACGTCTGGTACATGTACGTTAGAGATCCAAAACTTGTCACTGTAATCTACAATGCATGGAAAGGCAAACACAGTTATAATTTCCAACAAAGGCAAACACCACAAAGATAACGATAAAACAACCTGTTTAAAAACATGTGTTTTTAACAATTACATGAATATAAAGAGTAAGAATGATAAGAAGAAACAATCGAAATCGATTAATATTGTTTAAATGAGTTTATTTGATACAACATGTATACAGTATGTTATTGTGATCTTCAAACCACTTATAACTGATCTGCGTGTTATAGGTTTAATCGCCCCGCTCAACATATTAAAACCCTATAGCGAGACTGCCACATAAACATCATTCCTCAAGGTTCAAGATTCTTTCAAAATTCTTTGATTTTCTTTGCATTCTCTCACTCGTTTTATCAACAAAAACATACTAACATGTTTGATTAATATTGCCATGAATTCATGTCTCATTGTATATTTCTTTTTCAGATGATAAATTATAATGTCCTCCTAATATTAACCGGAAAAGTGCGATTCCAGAATTCTTAAGACAGGGAAGAAATGGTATCTGGCAAAAGTGTAGGTTTTCCTATACGTGTAATTCCTACCTGATCACAAAAGAAATTAACCTCTGCTAACACATCAGGATTGTTCCACTTGATAAGGTACTTGTTGTCTTTTTCTTTCATGCCTTTCCTTGATCGAAGCATGCCTCGTTGCGAATCATGTTTCAGGGCATTGCAGAGCTCCTCAGTGCATTCCAGGGGTAAGCCACAGTATTCCAGCAACCTCTCACAGACATGCTGTGGGTTCTCAAGAAGATCCTCATACTTAAAAGCCTTGATGTCCATACCTGCTTCCTTAAAGCGGATATAATTGTGACAAAGCACTGACCAATGACCCGCCATCATGCCAACCATGGAAGTCTTAATCATAAGTTCTGGGTCTTGAAGCCAAGGAAGATTAGGCACCATAAGCATGCTCCAAAGGAATTTGGCTAAGTTTGGTAAAAGTCGATGGGCAAGGCGAGTAGTCTGCATCCCATGGAAAAGTTTGACTCTGGGCAAAAACCCAAAGGCGTGATAAAACGACTGTATGGTTTCTTTGCCATTTCGGTAGAGGAACAGATGTTTCATGTCGGGAAACAGACGGGCGTCTATGTCTGCGTGGTTGAAATCCATGGACTTCGTCTTAATGCAGATTAACTGTGGGTTTGATTTCAGCGGCTTACACGTGATTCTTATCATGCTCTGTATAAATCTTTCCAAATCTTCATTCGATAATTTTTCCCTTAGCATAATGATATTTGTGAAACTGTCGGGTTCGCTCATTGTCACAACCCTCGGGACCGATTCCAAGACTTGTGTGACTGCCGTTGATCCACAACGCCCAGTGTTTGACAGCAGAAGCACTTTAGTTTTAGGATCACCAATTTCATCTGCGATTCTGTGAAATGATGAAATTGGCATGACTATCACTCGATACACGTGGTTGAATATCGCAGCGAATAAGAAAGGACTCAGATCAGAACTTAATATGTTTACTGACAAGGGCATCTGAGCAAAGTAAGCTTCGTTTTCATCTATGAAGGTTAAGTTCACATCGTCTCCTAGTATACATCGTGGGTGGTCAAAATGACTATGTGTGGTGATAAATTTGGAAGGGTCGGTCGGAGATAACTCATCCCATTTACACTTCCAGATGATATGCCTGACATGGGCTGATTTTTCGTACAACTGGCCATCTTTTATTTGACGAAGTGTTTTAGCGGTTCCGGTGATTCTCCACCACAAACGTTGAACTCTGCCGAAAATAAATCGACATATGCAGAACATGATCCAAGTGAAAAGCTTCATTTTCTCTGAAAAATACATACTAGATAGTGATAGCCGGGGAAATGAAAAAATATTCTTTATACTTTTGCAAAATATCAACCACTTTTAAGAATAACGAGTTAAAAAAAAACAGGAAAAAAACACCGAAAAGGAGAAAAATGTCGTGCATTTCGTTGATATTTATCTAATTGCATATGTCCACTGGTTTATTTACATTATCATCTGTTATATTTATAACATTATAACATAATACATCTACTCCTATTTTTCGTGTTATTTCTATTTGTATTGGGTTTACTGGCTCATTCCCAATGAAACTATTGTTCGACGTAGATCTACTCGCCTCCGCCGGTTCTCTCGCTGAATGCAATCAGATTAACACGCATCCCCTGATGTTGTCTAATACAAGAAAAACTGGTGACGACTTTACGAATATATGGGAAATAAAAGAAGACGTGTTAATGCAGATGTTAACAGGAGAGACTTGACAATTGGTACAAAATCTTTAAAATCTCCTAGGAAATCCACCGGTGGTTTTTGCTGAAGACGAATAGATTGAACAATTATTTGATGAGCTTCCAATTCCAACTGACTGTCAGTGACGGATTTAGAGGGGGGGTCGGGGGCCTGAACCCCCCCCCCCCTTCGATTTTTGGTTCCCTCTTGAAAATTTTGATAAGCTGAATCAAGCTCCAACCCGTACCAAATGGCACCATTGCCCTCTAAAATTTTCTTTTTTTTTTTTTTTTTGGGGGGGGGGGGGGGGGCTCTTCACCGCCCCCCACCCCAATATTTTTTTTAT